GGGACCCCACAGTGGGCGCCCGGCTTGTCCTCCTGACCCGCACCGGCTGTGGAACCCGCCCTCTGGGTCTGGAGCGTTTCTTCAGGGGTTGTTTTCCCAGCAGGGGACATTGGTGGCCTTCGCAGGCAGGTTCCCCTCCGCGGAGGGACAGCTGGTTGGGGAGGGGATTCCCCGGTTGCCCCCTCTCCCAGCCCCGCTCCCCCTGGGGAGGCCTCGTCCGGCCGGCCGTCCTGGGCGTCCAGCGAATGCACACGCTTCTGTCCCGCCTTCTTTGCTTCTCCTCCGTTTTTCCCGGGGGTGGGGGGGAGCCCTGGGCGTCTGTGGCGGCTCAGTTTGGGTGGGTGTCCCTCCTGTTCCTTCCGGAGCATGGCCGGCTCCCAGGCGGCTCGGGTCAGGTCTCACATCCCTGCCTCTGCTCTGCGTCTGGGGCGTTTCCAGAACGCGCCCTCCTCCCGTCGAGTGTCTCCTCCGTGTCGTCCATCCTGCTTTAAACTTGGCTGCGATCCGCTGCGGTCACCTCTCCGTCACTTCTCTCTCTGAGGTCTCCTCCTTCTAGAACAGAGAACCCGTGGGCTCTGCAGCGCCCTTGGCAGCGGCGGCCGCTGTCCCCGACGTGCTTGCTTCCCCGTTAAACCCCGAATCCTTGGCTCGCTCTGTCTTCCGCGTCTGCGTCCGCCTCCCCGCGTGTCTCCACGCAGAGGCGGCCGGGCTGCTTTCTGAGCTCGGACTTGGGGTCGGGCGGTTCTCCTGTCCCCACGCTCAGGACTGCGTGGTCCCCCTCAGGCCGAAGCAGGAGGGGTCTTTCTGTTGTCACTCTGGTCCCGGATCTTAAATTTGGGGGTGGGGGGCAGTTTCCACTCCGAGAATTGCCCCATATTCGTGGGCCCCGTCTGAGGGCCGGCCCCACCCACCGGCAAAGCCCCGGGCTGGGGGTTCGGGAGGGGGGCCGGAGCGAAGCCTCCCTTCCTGGTGGATGAGGCCGCCCGTTTTGTCTACACGGCTTCCTGTTCTGCCGGGGGTAGGGACTGCCGCTTTGGGGGCTCCGGGGGACCCCATAGTCTTAGGAAGGGTGGGGGGTGGCGGCCCCCTGCTTTCTCACCCCCCCTTCCAGGGCAGAGCCTCCCCGGCCGCCCTCCCGCCTGGAGTCAGGGTGGGGGCGATGCTCTTCCTCCTTCCCGATCTTTTATAGAACTCGGGGCGCTGGGCAGGGCTCGGACACCGGCCCTGGAAACCTTATTAAAATTTAAAACCCCGCAGAATGAAAAACAAGCACCTTTGCGTATGAACGCAGAGGGCGGTGCTGGGAGGCGGCCTGGAGCCCCCGTGGCTCCAGGACAGGAAAATGAGAAAATTGCCCAAAACAGAAATCACGAGAAGTGAGCCCCCCCCCAGCTTGTGGGAGCCGACAGGCCCCCGAGGAAGGGCTGCCCCCCAAATTCAACCCCCTGTCTCCCTTGCCCCACTGTGACCCCGCAGGGCACAGGGCAGCTGGAGAGGCCACCGGCCGGTGTCTTGTCCTTTGATTATGCGAGAAAAGCTGGTGGGGGACAGACAGGCTCAGGGTCCCAGCAGCACCGGGAAAACTGCAGGAAGAGAGAAAGTGGAGAGTTGTTCTTGGGGTGTCCGGATGCGCATCCACCCAGTGAGGTTGTGGTGCGTGGTGGTGATTTTTATTGTCACTGTTGTTGTCGTCGTTGTTTTGATCTTTGTCTCGGGGGCCACGCCGCCCGAGCAGCAGGCACAAGCCGTCCAGCTCCACTCAGGGTGCTCACGGCCACGGAGAACTGCGGGATTTGTCTGTTGGTTGCACTGGCCACGGTTCAGACACGCACGTGGCCGCCACCGTGCACAGCGCAGGCGGAGAACTTGGTGACTGTCGCAGGAAGTCCCGTTGGAGACACGTTACATTATTTGTGGGCGCCATGAAGAAATGGAAAAGAAAGGTTGTGGAGGCTGGTTGGGGGGGCCAGTCCTGTGCAGGCAACGCTGGGGTTGCACAGAGGGCCCCGGGCTGAGAGGGGATCAGTGAGGTGACTTCCCTGAAGGGGAGGAAAGGTGAGCAGGTGTGGGGACCCCTGCTGGGGGTGGGGGCCAGGGTCTCCTCACATGTTGGGGGCGGGAGTCTGGTCTCTGCCGTGAGGGCGGTAGGGAGCCATGGCAGGGCTGAGAGGGAGCGAGCAGAGCTGGGTTTTGCTTCTGGAACCTCCATCTGGCTGCCTGGGGTGGAGTGTCCCCAGGAATCCTGGGAGGACAGTGCTGGAGGGACGTGGCCTGACCCCGGGGACGGAGGGCCCCCTGGGGCAGGCCGAGGGAGGGAGGGAAGGAGAGGGGGTTGCTCCCTGCTGCAGCCTGGGCCCCTGGGTGGGGGGCGCTTACAGAGCTGGGCTGCAGGCCAGGCTGACGACCCCCTGGTTGTGCCTGTGGGTCTTGGGAGGACGGCGGCCAGGGCTGTGCGGGGGGCCCATGCCCACCTGCGTTGTGCCCGTCCCGCCCCATAGCCCCGCTCCTGTCCGGGAGGCTGGCTTCTCTATGCAGAGGGACTGGCTCGGGGACTTGTCTTCTGTCCCAGGTCGGCCGACCTTCTCCATGAGGGGCCGGCCAGTCTCTGTGGCGGCTGACCTGTCCACCGCTGCAGCAGAAGCCACCGTGGACGGGGGTGGACAGGACGGGACGGGAAAAAGGGTGCGTGCGCATAAAACTGCATTTACTGGAGCAGCCAGGGGCCCGACTGGGCCAGCCCTGCGCAGAGGAGTCCGGCCCAGGACATGGGCCACTCGGTCCCAACACATGTGTGCAGCTGCCGAGCCCACTCCCTGTTTGATCAGACGGGGGCCAGCCCTCTGTGACACGGCGAGGGGGTGGCCCAGCCGGGAGCAGGGTTTGTTGGGAGCCAAATGCGCCCCCGCCCTGCTCTGGGCGTTCCTGGTCATCCCTGCAGCAGCCTGGGCTCCGGCCCCCAGGGCCCCAGGCGCCCCCCGCTCTGGCCGCAGCTCCCGGGCCAGCCGGGCTGGGTCTGAGCCCGGAGATCTTTCCAGGCGCCGTCCTGCCAGCAGTTCACCTCCAGCGTTTAAAAAGAAAAAAATCATCCGAAAACTACTGTCTGACAGCAACGTCTTATTTTATTAGTGTGTTTTAATTAGAACACGAACAAGGATGTGCTATGAATATTCATGACCGGCTTATTAAAATGCATAATTAATCGGTGAGGGGGTTAATAACAGTATTAATGGAAGTCAGGCGAGGGGCCGGCCCTATTTCTCTCATTTCTGGAAGGGGGTGACCGGGGCTGAGCGAGGGGGTTTCCAGAAAGGGCAGAGAGGGCACGGTGGCCAGGAGCTCCCGGGGCCCATGCTTGGGGGGAGTCCCCGGGCCTTGGGGGGCTGTGGGTGTGGGAACAGCTCTCCCCGAGAGGTGCCCGGCTCTGGCCTTGGGACATGGCCTCCCTGCTCACTCTTATGGGGTCCCGGCGCCTCTGGGGCCACATTGTGGGTGCCCACTTGGGGTGTGGGGGCACCCAGAGCAGGGACAAGCTCATCTCAGGTGGGGGCTGCTCCAGAGGGGGAGGGGAGGACAGGCAAGTGGATGTAGAGGGAAACTGAGGCTCACGAGGTGCTGGCGCTTTGCCCAGGGTCACCCCTGCCTCAGCAGCCGCTCTCCTCCCCAGAGCCCCAGTGGGGCCAGGGCTTTGGGTGCAGCACCCCAAACCTGGGAGCAGATGCCGGATGGATTCCCGGAGACCGTGGGAGCCCCCTGCCTGGCCCCCACCCGCCGAGGCAGCGCCCCAGTCCCCCACCGTAATCACATTGGAAATTTTTGATTAGAAAACAAAATCTAAATGAGATATGAATATTCATTTGGCAGGGAGATTAATATGCATAATTATGTAAATTAGACAGCAATTAAACACCGATTCTCCTGGGGGAATGATTAACACAAAGGCCCCGAAATAGAAGGATGTAATTGGAAAGAAGTTTCTGGTACAGATGAGCAGGGGAGGCAGGAGGGCGAGTGAAGGGTCTGGCTGGGGCGCGTGGGGTCGGAAGGTGGGGGCCTGCCTGTAGAGATGGCTGGGCTGCACCCATCCCCGTCTCTGCCGCCCCAGCCTGGCTTGGGGGGCCTTCAGACTCAGAGTGGCTGTGGACACCCCGGTTCTGCAAAGTAGAGTCTGTTTGTAATCCCATTTACAGAGGAGGGAAACTGAGGCACAGAGAGGGAGGGTCCCGGGGCTGCTCCCCTTCTGCTGGTCCAGGCCGTGTGCTCTGTGCCCCTCGGCCCCCCACGGATGGAGTCAAACGCCCCCAGCCCAGGAAGGGCCTAGGAGGGATTCTGGGCGGGGCCTGGGACAGTGTGTGGGGAGATAAGGACCCCACCCAGGTCCTCTCAGCTCACGGGTTAACGCCCGCTGCGCCTCGGGCCTCTGACTGCCCCTGGTGGGTGACGGGTTCAGTTCCAGCTAGAGGGGCCGGCAGCCTGTGCCTGGCGGGTACTGAGTGGCGGCTGCCGCTGCTGCTTCAACAAAGGGGTGGCCCCACGCCCCAAATTAACAGTGATGGGAGGGGGGAGACTCCCACCCTCCCAAGATCAGAGCTCATTGCTCAGCACCCATTCACCAGTGCCCTCGTGGGCCTGTATCGTGGGATCAGGAGAGACTGAGCCTGACACAGTTGCCCCAGCCCCCTCCGCCTGGTCACTGCGGGGGTGGGGCCTGGGGCTTTGATGGATGGCTAGGAGTTGGCTGGCAGAGGTAGCTGATGGAATCAGTTTTAGAGCTGCGGCGCTAGAGGCGTGCTCAGGGCCTGGGTGTCTGCGGTGCTTGCCGGTGGCAGTGGTGTCAGTATGGGCAGTGCCATGGCTGGGGGACGCCGGACAGACTCCAGGGCTGGGCTGGATCGGGGAGGGCCCGAGAAGGCTGCCGAGTCGAGCGAGGTGATGGGGACCGAAGCTGGCTTCGGAGCTGGGCAGGGCGGGGGTGACCTTCTCTCTCTCTTCCTGCCCCACAGGCCTCGAGGAGCGGCCCGGCTCGGGCTCCTGGGGCTCCAGCGACCAGAGCACGTCCTCCTTCGACCCCGGCCGGGTGAGGGGCTGCTGCGGGGCCAGGACGCGGGTCTTCCTTCTCCATGGGGGTGGGGCAAAAGGGGAAACCGAGGCTCAGAGTGGGGAGGGCAGACGCCGGCCTGGGCTGTGGGGCTCCGGGCTGAGGGACGCGGGTTCATGTGCTGCCCCCTGGCCGCGGAGTGGGTGCCCAGCGCCCCTCACTCTCGTCTCTCCGCAGACCTACAGCGAGGGCGCCCCCTTCGGCGAGCCCCCTGGAGGCCTCTCTTCGTCCACATTCCTGGGCCCTGGGCTCGGAGGTGAGTGTCTCCGGGGTGCGCCCGACCCTGGGCACATGGAGGGTGCGGTGGACGCGCAGGACCCCCCCGGTGCGTGCAGGCCCGCTGACGGCAGACGGACCTGGCCAGCGGGGACGCGCAGGAGTCCAGGCTCTGATGTTGGGGCCCAACCGGCTGTTGCCTGTGCCGTCCCCCCACTGGGTGACCACAGCGGCTCCGGGGTTGGGAGCGGCCGGGCCTTGGCGCTGGGGCTGTAAATGGGGGGCTCAGGCCCGTCCACCAGGAGTCGGCGGGAGCCACTTCACAGCCACGTCGTCGGTGGCGGTCCCTAGGCCGCAGCACATTGGGGGTTCAGTGGAACCCAGGGGAGTGGACGGGCCACCTGTGGACCCTTGGCGGGACTCACTGACGGGGACACGGGGTCTGGAGGACTCTGGGGCCAGCCTTTGCCCCGGACCCCGAGGGGATGGCGCCTGCCGGGCATGGGACTGGACGCGCTTGGAGCCGTGTGGCCCGGGGTGGCCCTGCACCTGCCGCGAAACAGGTTCCCCTCACTGTTCCTTCCTCCTGCCTCTTCCTGACGCGGGCAGTTCCCACGGTGGCCTGGCCGGCAGGGTGCACAGGGCCCAGCTGTGTCCCAGGCCGCCACCTGGCCCTGCGGCCGAGCAATCTGGGGTGGGTGTGGGGAGCCCAGGCTGAGCCCGGCTGAGCCCGGCAGCCAGCGGGGAGGCGAGTGCCCTGTGCCCCAGGATGGGCCTGGCCTGTCCCTGTGCGGCCCCAGCCCCGTCTGGCGGTTTATTCCTTGCGGAGGGTCCTCATCCTGCCCTCACGCCCTGGTGTGTGGGCCTGGTGCATGGATTGGGCGCCTGCTGTATGTGCACAGGTCCCCTTCTAGAGCCTCAGCCTCCTCTCCCTGCACCCCTCATCCTTCCTCCCAGGAGACCCCTTTTTGGTGCCTGCTGTATGCACAGCAGCCCCGTCTCACAGGGAGCCACTGCCCCGTCGGCGCTGTGCCCACGCCGCCCCGGGAGGGAGGAGGTGTGGGCGTCGCCTCCGTTCACTTGCTGGCCTGCTGGCCGTTCACTGGCTGGACGCCCCCTGGCCTCCGGGCCTCTGTTTGTTCATCCCTAAACAGGCCCAGTGCCACCTGCTCCGAGGGGTCACGGAGGTCAGGCTGGAGGGCACAGCCAGTGGGCGCCTCTTCCCCATCCCCCCCACCCCCCTCCCCCAGCAGCATTTGCTCCAGGAGTCTGGTCAGAATTATCATTCTTCTAAAGTAAATTACAGGGTTTTTCCCCATTAGTTTGAGAATAGTTCAAATCAGTCGGCAGAGTGTTCTCGTTCTTTGCTCACAGCAGGGCTGGTCATGGTCCACCTGCAGTCCACGTTAGTGCCCAGCCTAAGCCAGAAACAGACTTAAATGGCTCAGGTCCTGATTGATCCAGGGACCTGCTTCAGGCAAGGCTGGATCCAGGCATCCGTGCAGCCCTGGGAGTCCACCCACACCAGCTGTTCTCTCGGTCAGGCTGTTACCCTCAGAGCCCCAGGCCTCATCTGTCCACACGGGGAAAAGGCCCCTTCTCCCCAGGTTTCTTGAATCAATCTCCCCAGGGATGTCACGTGCTCGTTCACAAGCCAAGCACTGGCTGGGAGCTGGGGGTGGCACCGGGAGCCTGGGTGCTGAACCGTGCAGGCACCAGGCACCCCAGTCTGTCCCCTGGGAGCCCCCACCCTGGGGAGGTGACACCTCACGACCTTGAACAGAGGAAACCAAGGCTTGCGAAGGGCACTGGGGCCCGACTCAGTGCTCTTGCCCCTCAGGGACGGGACGTGACGTCAGGGGGCCCTCGTGGGTTTGCAGAGTTCTCTGAGGGTCATCTTGGGACAGCGTCCCCCAGGCTGATGGGGAGACCAGCTTCCCACCATGGTTTTCTGGGTGTTGTGCACTTATGGAGCACCTGCTGTATACGGGCATGTTCCCTGCACTGGGTCAGCCCCTCGGGACACACCATCCCTGGGGTCAGCTCCCAGTGATCCTCTCTCCTCCCTCCCAGGCAAGAGCGGTGAGCGGAGTGCGTACACCGCCTTCGGGAGAGACGCGGGTGTTGGTGGCTTGACTCAGGTGAGGCCCACGTCTGCGGGGCGGGGGCACCGGTGGGCCTGTTGGTGTGCTCAGTCTGTGGAGCCCGGAGAATGGAGGGGGCGGCGCAGGTGGGGAGCCTGGGGGGCCTTGACCCCTTCCCCCCGTATACTCCCCCCATAGGTTTTAGTTCTAAACAAGCTCATCACGGTCTGTCCCCCGCCCCTTGACCTGCAGCAGGCTCTCTAGTCGGCCCAGCGCTGGTCACTCTCCAGCAGCAGCTGAAATAGGGCTGGACCGTGGGCCAGGCCGGGCCCTCTGGGTGTGGACGGGGAGGAAGCAAGAGGTGGGGAATACCTGGGGCCGCCGTGCGCAGCTGGAGGGGCTCCAAGAGACGCCCGCCCACCCCCAAGTGGCACACGGGGAAACTGAGGCCATCCCGGCAGCTGCCTGCCCTCCCAGGGAGCTCGCCCCACAGGCTGCCAGCCCGGGCAGGACTCGCACCACGGCCCCCTGTGCGGCCGACAGGAGCGGTGGTGGCCACCGCGGTCCCAGCATGGCCTCCTGTCCCGGTCACTCCCTGGGCCTTTCCCCTGATGCCCGAGGCCTTCCCTCGTTTCCCAACCTGCAACCCCCAGGTCTCGCGGTGCGCTAGGCCTTGTCCCAGGTGGCGCCGCCTGTGTGCACGCTGTGCCCAAGCCAGGGCAGCAGCAGACGCAGCTATTGGGCTCCAGCTGAGTACCAGGCCCTGGGCCACGGGCGGAACTCACAGGGCCCTGTCCGTCCTTGAGCCATGGGCATACAGACGGGAGATGGGGGTTGGGAACGGCAGAGCCAGGGCTGGACCCCGCCTGGTCCTGAGGGCGGAAAGCCCATCTCACGCTGCCCCAGGCAGTTCCTGACCCCGGTGTGCCCGAGCCCGCCACTTCTCTCCCCTTTGTGACAGCAGCAGTGTGGCCACGATGCTGTCTGCAGAAACGCAGCCCCAGAGGGCAGAGGGGCTCCCGCGAGGGCCACTGTCACCCCACATGGTCCCTGCGGCCTCCTTTTGCATGAGGTGTTTCTTTAACCGAAATTGTCTGGGGCTGGATGGCAGCCCGGCCTCCTGACGCCTCCCTCTCCTCCTAGGCCGGCTTCCTGCCCGGCGAGCTGGCCCTCAGCAGCCCCGGGCCGCTGTCACCCTCGGGCATCAAGGGCGCCTCCCAGTATTACTCCTCCTACCCCGGGCACACTCGGCGGAGAGCCGCGGATGGTGGCCTTGGTGAGTGGGGCAGCCGGGGCCGGGGGACGCTGGGGAGATGGCGGGGGACCCGGGCGAGGAGTGAGTGCAAGCGGAGCCATTGGTCACTGGGCAGCAGCCGTGGACACTGCTCTCTGCTCCGGGGAGGACACTGCAGCTGGGGGTCCCGCGTGGGTTCTCGCGGGCCGTTGGTGCCCGACCTCGTCTGTGTCTGAGGACACCTCCGCGCTGTCGGTCCCCGTCCCACGGGCTGCAGGAAGCTCTGCACACGCGTGTTGTCTCTGTGAGCTCACCCTTCACGGCCAGCATCTGAGCTCTGTGCCTGGCACCACTTTAGACAGCAAGTCACCCCCAGAGCTTAGAGAAGGGATCCTGGCCTCCAGCCTGAGCTGGCGTCTGAAGGCTGCGCGTAGGCTGGTCCCACCCCAGCTGGGCGCATGCGCAAAACCCAGGGAGAAGGGGTCGGGGCCCCAGCTGTCAGCTAGTGGGGGTCTGCACAGCGAGGACCACCGTCCAGGGAGCCGGGGTGGGCGGCTCCATTCTGAGTCCTCGCACCCTGCCTGGGGTGCCCGCACACCCTCAGAGCCAGGCTGCTGGGTCACGGGTCAGTGATTCTGTCCAAAGGAGAGTCCCAGGGTCCTTCTCCAAGGTGCAGGGTGGGGCTGTCTCCTGGCCACCCCCCCGTGACAGGCACGTCCCCGGGGCTGTGGAGGGCCCCCCACACCCCTGGCAGCCGGGGCAGGAACCAGGCCAGACGTGGTGCTCTCTGCTCTCGCTCTGACAGACTCGCAGCCCAAGAAAGTCCGAAAGGTGCCGCCAGGCCTCCCGTCCTCGGTGAGTCGGGGGACGGGGTGGGCACCCCACAGGCCAGCGCCTCTCCTGTCCCCAGGCTCAAGGGCCCTCCCCACCCAAGGCCACCCAGCACGTCAGTGGGACACTGGCCACATGTGTGGGTCTGCATGTGGGCGGGCTCCTTGTGGGTTCTGACCCCGAACCCCATGGGCTCTGCTGGACTGGGCCTCAAGGCCGCAGCCCGACCTCCGAGGGGTGGGGCTTATTCCTGGGGTCTATCCTGGATGCCTGTCGCTTTAGGAGAAGAGCATTTCTTGTGTCCGAGGCTTTGGAAAGGGCGTGGATGGGGGTCCCGGGGGTCGGTTCAGAAGGGCCCTGCCCTATCCGCCCTGGTCGTGCCACCCTGAGTCCCTGCCCTGCTGCCTGGCGGTTGGCGGGGTGCCAGGTGCACAGACGGCGCAGGGCCCTCAGCGGCCTGCAGGGTGGGCTCCCTCGACGTCCTCACATCGGGAGGAAGGCAGTTTGCTGGTTCCCCAGCAGGGCCGCCCCCGGCCTCTCTGTCTGGCCCCGCGCTGGCCCCAGGCTCAGGGTTTGCCGCAGAGGCTGCCGTGCTGCTAGGAGGCACAGTCAGGTGCAGGCTGTTCTAAGACAGGACTGTATCGTGGATCCCTGTTTTTCACACCCCCGCCCCCACGCTGGTTTCCTGGTACCCCTGCCCTCGGCACGTGTGCCCTGCCTTCTCTCCACGGCCAGGGCAGGCGCCACCAGTCGACCCCAGCGTTTTCCCGCTGGGCCCGGCCGCGGTTCCAAGCAGCACCAGTCTATCAGAGTCAGTACTGATGTTGGACCCCATCCATCCCACTGTCCTGGGGCGGTCAGGCCGCAGTATCAACCCAGGGCCTGGCGTCTGAGGCCCCAGGGTCTTGTGTGACCCGGGCTGGGGCCCCGGGAGGTTCTAGTGCTGGGGGTTTCCCAGCTGGGCTTTGACAAGTCAGTAGGCGTTTGCTGGATTAAGGAGGGAAAAGGTGTCCTGGGCAGGGCCTCCAGTCCACGAAGGCCGGGGTTGAGGGTGGGAAAGAAGAGTGGAAGGAGATGGCAGTGCCCCCAGGGCATCGAACGCTGACAAGGGGCTGTCTTGGGGGAAACATTGGCACACCACGGGGAGACGGGGAGGTGGGTGGACAGCTGCCCAGGCGGAGAGCAAGGCCGGGACAGGGGCCTCTCCCACCTGACCGTGCTCGCCTGCCTGCAGGTGTACCCCCCCAGCTCAGGTGACGACTACGGCAGGGACGCCACCGCCTACCCGTCCGCCAAGACCCCCGGCAGCGCCTACCCTGCCCCCTTCTATGTGGCAGGTGCGTGGGGCTCGCCTGGGACGGCGGGGCAGGGCCTGGGCCCCCTCGCCCCTCACCGTTCCCCTCTCTGCAGATGGCAGCCTGCACCCCTCGGCCGAGCTCTGGAGCGCCCCCGGCCAGGCCGGCTTCGGGCCCATGCTGAGCGGCAGCTCGTCCCCCCTGCCCCTCCCGCCGGGCGGGGGCGGCTCTGTGGGCGGCACTGGCAGCGGCGGGTTTGGCGGCCTGCACCAGCACGAGCGCCTGGTAAGCTCTGGGGCGCAGGGTGAGGGCGGCCCCGTCTGATGCCCTCCCACCCCCTCTGGCGCCCTCCCGCCCCTTCTGATGCCCTCCCACCACGTCTGACGCCCTCCCGCCCCGTCCGCTCACAGGGCTACCAGCTGCACGGAGCGGAGGTGAATGGCGGGCTCCCGGCTGTGTCCACCTTCTCCTCGGCCCCCACGGCTGCCTACGGCAGCGTTTCCAGCCACACACCCCCCGTCAGTGGGGCTGACAGCCTCATGGGTATGCGCCCTCCACCCCACCCCGATCCCACCTTCCGAGCTGGAGACTAGGGCGGGCGCAGAAGTGTTTAGTGGCGGCAGGGGGTGGGGGGTGGCCGGGAGCTACCCTGTTACTCACACCCGCACACGTGCTCCGGCTCCTCGGACCCCCTCCCAGAAATCTGGAAGCAGCTCTTTGAGGAGAGTGTCCCCATTTTACATCTGGAGAAACTGAGGCCCAGAGACGGGACTCGATCACTCAGGGCCTCACAGCGTGGCCTCCATGGAGGCAGGTGGTGGGACGTCAGGCAGCAACCAGAGCAAAATTGGGGGCGTGTGTGGGGGGCAGCCGGGCACAGAAGGGGGCTCCCCCTCAGCCGGGGATGCAGGCCAGGCCCAGTGCTGCGGGCGCTCCCTCCCGGAGGCTGGGCCTCACGTCTCTGCACCCACAGGCTCCCGCGGGACCACGGCCAGCAGCTCCGGGGACGCCCTCGGGAAGGCGCTGGCCTCGGTGAGGCATGGGCATAGCGGGTGGTGGGGGTGGCCGGGCTGGCAGCCCCAGGAGGTGGGCCCTTGACCAGCCACCCCGTGGCCTGTCTCTCCTCGTCCCCACTGCAGATCTACTCCCCGGATCACTCAAGCAATAACTTCTCATCCAGCCCCTCGACCCCTGTGGGCTCCCCCCAGGGCCTGGCAGGTCTGTGCAGGGTGCTGGGGGCGGGGGGGGGCGGGCGGCGAGCTGGACAGACCAGCCGCCTCAGAGCGTGTGTTCCCATGGGCATCCGGGAAGGCTCCCTGGAGGAGGGGGCCTCCAAGCCAGTGCTCTTACGTCACTGCGCCGGCAAAGGCCAGGAGGCAGGAGGTGGTGGTCTGTACTGTGTCAGCATGGGGGGCTGGGGACCCAGTGGGGTCAGGGCTTCAGGCTTGGCTCTGGCCCAGACTCCAAACGGCATATGTTGGCGTGTGTCCACCCCACGTGTGTTAGTCAGGCACCGACTCTATGTCTTGTATGCTGGGCCGAGGGGCCCCAGCCCCTGTCGCCACGAGGGTGGGCCCAGCATCAGCTGGGGACGTGAGCCGCGGGTCTCTGGAAGGCGGGGTGGTGGCATTATAAGGCTAGTAGACCCGGCTCTGGCCTCTGTGGTCCTCACAGCAGGCGACTGCCCTGCGGGACCGGGAGGAGCCAGCCCTGCTCTGCACTCCTCGTCTAGCTGAGCCGCCTTCCCTACGGGAAAGGAGGGGTCAGGTCCTGCAGATGGGGAAACAGGCTCAGAGACAGGAACCTGCCTGGTGGGTTCGCACCCTGGGCCAGCGAGAAGCTAGATTTAAACGTGAGCCCGAGACCCCAGGGGTCCGTGGTGGGCCTGCGAGCCTCCAGCACTGAGCCTGACTCCGGTCCCTGCCATCAGTCTGTGGGTGTGGCGCCCCTGTGTGGCCATCTGGGCATCGCGGGCTGGCAGTGGGCTCCCTGCCCAGCGGTCCTGGTTCCGGCCTCCCTCCCGCGGTCAGGCCAGGAGGATGCGCTGCCCCAGCCCCCACCTCACGCCTCCTCTCCCTGCAGGGACGTCACAGTGGCCCCGAGCAGGAGCCCCCGGTGCCTTATCGCCCAGCTACGATGGGGGTCTCCACAGCCTGGTGAGCCTCCTGCCCGGCGCGGGGGTGGGGGGCTGCTTGTGGGTGTGCTGGTGGGGCGGGGGCGGAATTTGCAGTAGGATGCAGGCTGCTTGGACAAGAATAAACTTAGTTGATGTGTTGGGAACGAGGTCTGGAGCTGGGGGTGGTCAGAGCTGCGGCCGTGACCAGCGAAGGCGCGCGGGGCTGCCTGGGGTCCCAGCGACCCAGACCCCTCACACCCATCCCCCCGCAGCAGAGCAAAATGGAGGACCACCTGGACGAGGCCATCCACGTGCTGCGTAGCCACGCTGTGGGCACGGCAGGCGACGTGCACGGGCTGCTGCCTGGCCATGGGGCGCTGGCCCCGGGCTTCACCGGCCCCGTCATGCCGCTGGGCGGGCGGCACGCCGGCCTGGTGAGAGCGGGCAGGGCGGCCGGGCAGCCAGCGGGTGGGTGGGCACGGGGGCCGGGCAAACCTGACCGCCTCCCTATCCACAGGTCGGAGGCGGCCCCTCAGAGGACGGCCCGGCGGGCAGCGGTAGCCTCCTGCACAGCCACGTGGCCCTCCCCGGCCAGCCGGGCGCCCTCCCCGACCTCTCCCGGCCGCCTGACTCCTACAGCGGTAAGCCCCAGCCTGGCCTGGCCCGGGTGGCCTGCACAAGGGTACCCCGCACCCCAGGTCTGTGGGTGGGACCCACTGGTGGTGGGCAGCTCCCAACCGAGCTACGTCCCTCCTTGGAAAAAGGGGACACAGAGGGCTTATCACCGGGGGTCTGAGGACCGCCAGGTGGCCCCGAGCATCTGCTCTCTGCCTGGCACAGGGCTGGGGCTTGGACCCCATGCTGCCTGCCAGCCCCTCACGGTGGCCCACGGGCTCAGGATTGTCCCACCCCCGTTTCCAGTTGAGGAAACTGAGGCAGAGGAGAAGGCAAGAAGCTCCACCGGGACCAGGTGCCCAGGATCCCAGCCGGGGGTGGGGGAGCGGTGTCTGCCTTGGTGGGAGCCGGCAGGTGCGGTCCCCATCAGAGGCACCTGCAGGGAGGCCCGAGAGGCCGGCAGGGTCACCGGTGGGTCAGCATCTTTCGAAAGGGAAGTGGGGCCCAGCACTCTGGGCGCAGCCTCAGAGCAAGCGAGGCTGTGGTTTGTGGTGGCCCCTGCTCTGAGTTCACCCGACACCCGTGTATTTAGTATCAGCCGTATCTGAGGTGTTTCTAGGCACTGGGATAAAATAGGGAATGAGAGAGAGCCCCTCGCTGGGGGGTGACGTTCTGGTCGGGGAGACAGGGGGCTGGGGAGAGATTGCAGGGGGTCTTGTAGTTTTAAAGTTGAGGGGGCAAGATTGTGGCATCTCAGCAGAGCCAGGGATGAGCGAATGCAGGCAGGCACCTGAGGGTGCGGCCATGCAAAGGCCCTGGGGCAGGAGCAGGCCGAGTGTGTTGGACGGGCAGCGAGGAGGCCCGTGTGGCTAGAAGAGGGAGTGAGGGGGAGGAGTGGGAAGAGCGGGGGCAGGGAGGGGACAGGGCATGTCATACGGGCCTGGGGTGCCTTTGGGAGGACTTGGCTTGTCCCCCGAGGGAGGGAGGCCTGGAGGGCTGCAGGCGGAGGAGGGGGACCCAGGGGAAGGGATGAGCTGGTCCAGGGAGGCGATGCCGGGGGTCGGCCTGGGCAGGGCTGCAGAGGGGTGAGCAGTGGGTGGGTTCCTGGTAGTGTGAAGGCGGAGCCCATGGATTTGCAGATGTGGCGGCAGCGGTGGGATTCGGGTCCGGAATTCAGAGTGACGTCCAGCGTCACTGGCCCATGGTGGACTTCAGAGCCAGGACCCTGCACGGGGTCACTGGGAGGAGCAGAGCTCGGTCCCGAGCATCGGGCTGGGGTCGGGACAGGCGGCCGTGGGAGGCGGAGGAGGCGGGACTGTGTGGGACGCCGGGGTGAGGACCCAGGTGGGGTCAGGCTGACCGGGGCAGGGTCGGGGGGTTTGGGACATCACCATCCGGGGGAGCAGAGGATTGGCAGTGGCAAGTGGGGGGTGAGGTCAAGAGAGGGTACCTCTCAAGACCGAAGAGGGCATGGTGCGTTTGAGGGGGGCCCTTGGCGAGCAGGACGCTGTCCGCCTGGCAGGAGGCCTTCGAGGGGGGAGGCAGCAGGGGGAGGGCTCCCGTGCCCACTGGGGCCCGGGACCTGAATCTCACAGTGGCCAGTCCCACGGGCCATCAACCCTACCCTGCTCCAGCGGGCAGACCGAGGCCCAGAGAGGGTGCGGGAACTCCCTGCAGGGCAGTGGCTGAGCTGGGCTGCCCCCCCCCCCCCCCCCCCCGTCACCTTCATGAAAGATATTGCACGTCACGTGACAGTAACAGGACACGTGTGTGTGACAACGCTGCCTAAACGTCCAGCACCCCAGGGACCCACCACATGACCCACATTAGGGCAGCTTCTCTCGTGCCTCCGTGTCCCCCTGCACCCCAAAACCAGCCTCAGTTCAGAGTCAATGCTTCCTTGTGTTTCTCAATGTCAACGCATTGTAGGGTTCTCACCTGGGGACAGTGGGTGACGTCTGGGGACATCTGTGGTTGTCACACTGGGGGTGCTCCTGGCATCCAGTGGGGGGGGGCCAGGGATGCTGCTCAACCCCCCACAGTGCTCAGGGTGGCCCCCCAGACAGTGATCCGGCCCCAATGTCCAGTGCCAGGGGGACGCTGTGCTGTCATATCCCAGGATCCCCTCCCTTCCTCCCCCTCACCGCTGGAGGACTGGCCGGCGCTTTGCTGACTGCGTCTCCGCGAGGTTGGGGTCCGCGTAGCCGCGCCGTCAGCCTCGTTCTCTGTCATCATGGCTCCAGGGCTCCGTTATAGCCCACGTCCCGCTGTGTCGTCTTCCCACCTGTCTGCTGGCTCGCGCTGGCTTTGGGTCCCCTGCGCTGCGTGTCAGGTCCTTTCCCACTCTGCTGTCTTGCTGGCTGCCTTCTGGAACATTCTGTAATGTATCTTCTGGGGCACACGTGCCAAAGTCTCTCGAGTGTGGTTCCCAGTTGTGGGATTTCCGGGTGCGCATGTGCCTGCCCTGTCCAGGGAATGCCCGGGCGTTTCCCAAAGAGGCCGTGCCTCACGGGCCGTCAGGAGCGTCAGGCCCCTCGATCTTGCCGAATCCAGGCGGGAGATGGGTGCGCTGGGCCCTGACTCACGGTCCGTGACCTCCGGAACAAGGAGGTGGAGCCGCCCGCCGCACCTGCTCCCCTGCTGAACCTCCCGTTCGGGTCCCTGCTTCCCTGCCGGCTGCCCGTCCTCTGCTCCACCGTCTGGGGGAGCGCCCGACGTCCTCTGGGCCCCGTCCTCTTGGTTTATATGTGATGCACGTCTTCTGTCCTGGCGTGTCTTTATCCCGGCAATCAGAAATTCTCGATTTCAGTGGAGTCAGGTTGGCGATTCCTTTTCTTCCTGTGAGAGCAGCTCTTTAGCATTCTAAGCCGCGGTTCCCTGCCGTGAGCCACAGTGAGATTTCCACGGTCCTCCTGAAGGTCGCATTTCACCTGTTGCATCTCAGACCTCAGTCTGTCTGGCGTGAGGCAGGGATCCTGGTTTCGTTTTTGGCAGCGGAAGGCCCGGCTGTCCCAGGAGAGCTCGTTCCCCTCCCACGAGTGGCTGGTCGGGGGCCCTGGTGGCCGGCCCGGCCCCTCACCCAGGCCCTGTTGCAGGGCTCGGGCGTACGGGTGCCACCTCGGCCGGTGACATCAAGCGGGAAGCGAAGGAGGACGAGGAGAACGCGTCCGTCGCCGACCCCTCAGAGGAGGACAAGAAGGAGCTGAAGCCTCCCCGGACCCGGACCAGGTGCCGGCCCCTCCCCCCCCCCGCCCCCACCAGGACACATACGCACACGCACGCGCGCACACGCACACATGGCGCCCACCTGCGAGGCCGTTGGCGGGCCGCCCCGTGCCCCCGCTCACTGTCTCCCTCTGGCCCCCGGCCCCGTAGCCCGGACGAGGACGAGGACGACCTTCTCCCCCCAGAGCAGAAGGCTGAGCGGGAGAAGGAGCGCCGGGTGGCCAATAATGCGCGGGAGCGGCTGCGGGTCCGAGACATCAATGAGGCTTTTAAGGAGCTGGGGCGCATGTGCCAGCTGCACCTCAACAGTGAGAAGCCCCAGACCAAACTGCTCATCCTGCACCAGGCCGTGTCGGTCATCCTGAACCTGGAGCAGCAGGTGCGAGGTCAGTGGGGGTGCTGCGCCCTCCCCGCTGCCCGCGCCGCGGCCTGGATGGCCTCCCCTCCTGCTGTGACCTCCCCACGGTCACCACTGTCCTCCCCCTGCTGTCATCACCGTCCTTCCCACTGTCACCACCGTCCTTCCCATTGTCACCACTGTCCTCCCCACAGTGTCACCATCGTCCTCCCCTCGCTGTCACCCTTCTCCCCTGCTGTCACCACCGTCCTTCCCACTGTCACCACCATCCTCCCCCCGCTGTCACCACCGTTCTTCCCACTGTCACCACCATCCTCCCCGCACTGTCACCACCATCCTCCTCCCTGTCACCACCGTCCTCCTCGCTGTCACCAGCATCCTCCCATTGCTGTCACCACCATCCTGTCACAACTGTCCTCACTGTCACCACCATCCTCCCCGTTGTCACTACCATCCTTCCCTCCTGTCACCACCGTCCTCCCCCTGCAGTCATCACCGTCCTCCCCGTCACCACCGTCCTCCCCGTGCAGTCATCACCGTCCTCCCTCCTCTGTCACCACTGTCCTCCCCCCACTATCACCACCATCCTTCCCTCCTGTCACCACCGTCCTCCCCCTGCAGTCATTACCGTCCTCCCTCCTCTGTCACCACCGTCCTCCCCTGTCACCACTGTCCTCCCCGCTGTGACCCTCCCCCCTGTGGTGACCGTCTCTCTGCTGTGGCTGTCCTTTCTGCATTGACTTTTTTTCCTGCATTGACACCCCGCACCCCGTGGCCCACTGGCCCTCCGCCCGGCCCCAGTGTCCCTCCTGGAATGGGAGGACAAAACTCTGGATTCCTTGGCCTGCAGACCTGGGCACCTTGGCTCAGAGCAGTGTCCCCAGACCCCAGGGACCCCCGCCCGCCCAGTCCTTCCTTCTCAGGAGGCTCATCGCCGGGCTGCAGAGGCCAGTGCCCCCCGGGCCCTTGCGCCCATCACTGTTGCTCTGAGTGGATACCCGCGGGCCCTTGAGTGCATCCTTGTCACCTCCAGGGGGCTCATGCCCCGCTTCGGGGCTGGGTGGGGGTCCGGAGAGGCCCCGGGACTCGCCCCCGCTGCTTCCTTAACGCCCCCTCCTGCGCCCGTTAACCTCTTCTCTCCTGCAGCGCTGTCGCTTGGACGGGAGCTGGGGCCCGGCCTGCCCGCCGCTGTCCCTCAGCTCGAGTTTCTGCGTCTGCACGGCCGCGGGCCTTGTGCAGTGTCCCCACGCCCGCCTCTCTGTTCTGCCTCTTGCGCTTCGCCCCTCCCCCACACCCCCAGCCGAGTCTCCTCCGCTCCCACCGGCAGCCCCTCCTCACCTCGCACTTGCTGCCCGCCCGGCACCCGCACGCCGGGGCTGCAGCCTCGCAGCCTCCCCGCCCCCGAGCCCCCGTCAGGACTTGAGGGAAGGGAGGAGGCGAGGCTTGCGCCAGGCTCCAGGCCCCACTGTCAGTTTGGTCTGTGCGCTTGTCCTGGGCTCCAGGCCGTGCCGCCACCCGGCTGTCTTCACTCGGGCCTGAGGGCAGCAGCCGCCGGGCCACAGGCACCAGATGGGGCCCGGGGGTCCGACCAGAGGCAGGTGCCCGGCTCCTCAGCTTCCAGGGGTCCCCGCGTCTCAGGCCTCCACCCGGGCTCGTTTCATCTCTGCCACAGCCCCGGCACGGTGGGCGTCCCATTGTGATCGGCCCCGTCCTCCCCAGGAAACAGGCAGAGAGCAAAGTCACTTGTCCGTGGCCACCCGGCAACACCACTGCTGAGCCCAGTCGGGGTTAGGAGCTGGCGGGCAGGGGCGCAGGTGTCTGAGCACCAGGTCCAGACCCCTGCCTGTGTGAAGGGCTCGCTAGTGTCCAGTAGATTGGACCCGCCACCGGGGTCACTCGCCATAGAGATAAGGAACCGGAGTCCCGGAGCTCGGGAGGCGCCGGCCAGAGTCAGGCCCACAGGCAGGGTGCACGGCAGCCGCTCCAGGCCCCGTCCTCGGGCCAGCAAAGCCCAGTGTGGGGCAGACATCGCTGAGACCCCTGGGGGTAGGCTGGTTGGCTCCTTGTGGGACTCTGAGTGTCCTGGCCCCCCCAGCCCCAGAGGTCTCCCCGTCCTGGGCTCTGGGGACCCAGGCCGCTGTCTGCTGAGTCTGTCTTCGCGGCCTCTTCACCCAGGGCAAATCAGGCCAGGCCCAGCTCCCCCTCCTCCAGCACGCACAGCTCTGAGCAGGAAGGTCGTCCTCCCGGGAGGGGGCCAGGTCCCCCACCCTCCTGGCCCGTCCTGGGGCGCGTGGAGTGGCCAGGGGTGCGCCCGGCTCCTTGTAGACTCCCAGGTTGGGGAATCATGGCCCTGCATCCATCCCCAGAAAACATCCCAGGAACACCGAGGCCCTGGCCTCCCTGAGACACCATCACACAGCCTCGCCGAGAGCAGGTCCAGGGGCACACACGCAGGCACACCCGAGCCCTTTGCTCCAGAACGCGTGCCCTGTGCACCCAGAGGAGCATGTGGTTGTGGACGTGAGCTCACATGCTAGCACGTGCACCCACTCACACAGACCACACCCTGACAAAGACCACCCACCCAGACAGACCACACACCCACACAGACCACACACCTGCACCGACCACGCACCTGAACCCGCACAGTCCGCACACCTGCACCCGCACAGTCCGCACACCTGAACCCGCACAGTCCACACACCTGCACAGACCACACACCTGCACCTGCACAGACCACACACCCGCACAGACCACACACCTGCACAGTCCACACACCTGCACCCGCACAGACCACACACCTGCACAGTCCACACACCTGCACCCGCACAGACCACACACCTGCACAGTCCACACACCTGCACCCGCACAGACCACACACCTGCACAGTCCTCACACCTGCACCCGCACAGACCACACACCTGCACGGTCCACACACCTGCACCCGCACAGACCACACACCTGCACGGTCCACACACCTGCACCCGCACAGACCACGCACCTGCACCTGCACAGACCACGCACCTGCACCCGCACAGTCCATACACCTGCACGGACCACACACCTGCACCTGCACAGACCACACACCTGCACAGTCCACGCACCTGCATAGACCATGCACTTGCACAGACCACGCACCTGCAGACCACACACCTGCACCCGCACACACTCACAGCGAGTCGGTGCCCCGTCCACAGCCCTGGCCCCACCCCCGCCCCCGCGTGTCACTAACAGAGGCCCCGGTGCTGTGACCCAGCAGTACAGAGGAGGTGCTGTCCCTGGAGGAGAAAGACCTGAGGGACCGGGAGAGGCGCATGGCCAATAACGCGCGGGAGCGGGTGCGCGTGCGGGACATTAACGAGGCCTTCCGGGAGCTGGGGCGCATGTGCCAGCTGCACCTCAAGTCGGACAAGGCGCAGACCAAACTGCTGATCCTGCAGCAGGCCGTGCAGGTCATCCTGGGCCTGGAGCAGCAGGTGCGAGGTAGGCTCCCGGCCGCCCCGCCCCCCCGCCCCCGCAGACGCCGGGCGCTCTGCCCACGTCTCCGCGGGGGACTCAGACTGACGCCCCCGAACCCCCGATCTGTGGCTCACAGCTCCCCTCCGGGGAGGGGACAAGCCGAGAAAAGGAGGCCACGCGTGCCCCCACTCGCCCCCTGGAGCCCTGCCCGCCGTGCTCGCCCTCTCGGGGGACCCTCTCCCACAGTGCTCTCCCCTCCCCCAGAGCGTAACCTGAACCCCAAAGCCGCCTGCCTGAAGCGACGGGAAGAGGAGAAGGTGTCGGGCGTGGTGGGAGACCCCCAGATGGTCCTGTCGGCCGCCCACCCAGGCCTGAGCGAGGCCCACAACCCCGCCGGGCACATGTGACAGGGACGCCGCCGAGGGACGAGTGCCCGACCTCGGTGCAGCCCGGGGCGCTCCCGCCGGGCGCCGGTCTCCATCCTCGGCGGGGGCCGGCCGGTGCGCTCCTCGCGCGCATGCGCAGCGTCGCGCCGACACCCACCCGGGAGGCTACGAGCACGGGGACCCCGGCGGGGACGCGGGTCCCGGAGACTGTGTCCCGGCCCCGCCACCCAGGACGGGCCGCGAGGAGCGTTTGTTTGTCTTTTTTTTTTTGGAAACGAAGTCGGACAACAAGCAAGGAATACACACGTTATCAGAAAAGAAAATGCCTTAAGTATGGATGGGGAGGAGCCGGAGCGTGTCACTCGCCCGAGGGAGATGCGTGCAGACCTGGCTTGCTCTGAAGCCACCAGCAAATTGTGCCTACGCCTGATATTTTTTTTAAGGAAAATAAAAAGAACATTAGTTATAAGATTTTTTTTTTTATTAACGTAGAAGAAAATTAGCAAGGAGGATGCCTTTGGTCTCTCGGTTTTTTGTTTTTGTTTTTGTTTTTTTAGCTTTTTTTGCATATGTTTTGTAAGCAAATAATTTTTTTGTATAAAAGTCTCGTCTCTTGCTGTTTCTGCTGCTGTTTCTAGAACTGGGCGTTGCATTTCATGATCAACCAGATTATTAAAAGTTGTATTAAAAGACCCAATGCAAACCTGAGGTGCCCCCCTCCCCCAGGAGCCACTGGCCGCAGGACGGGGATGGCCAGTGTGGGGTGGGTGTCCTGATTTGGCTGGGTGTCAAGTGTTGGTCAGCCTTGCCCCATGCTCCACTCCCTCGAAAAGGGGGACACCCCGGCCTCTGGGTGGTGGCACCTGCAGGGAGCTCGCGGCCCTTGTCCTCCGGAAGCAGCATTGGTCCCCCAGGCCCCTGCGCACAGCCCCACAGCCCCACAGCCCCACAGCCCTCCCCGGGACCCCAGGCTGCTCTCAGGCCTCTCCAGCACGCGGGATCTCATTGGGATCAATGCTCCAGGGCATGGGGACCGCACCCCGGGAGCACGGTGCCGGGGGGCCTCCCCAGACACCCCGTCTTTCAGTCCTCTGACCTGGGGGCCCCAACCCCTTCTCTGAACTCCCGCGGAGGGGCTGCAGCTCGGGGCCAGCATGGAGACCCCCCAGCCACAGGCACCAGGAGGCCACCCTGGGGTGGATGGAGCAGGGAGAAGGTATGGGGTCCCCACCCAGAAAGGCCCCAGAGCTGCACACCTGCCCGACGTCCCCTAAGAGGGTGGCCCCGTGTGCACCGTGTCCTGGGCCTCCCCAAGCCCCCCTCTGGCCTGACGTGTCACTGGGGACCGGTGCGTCCCGGCTTTGAAATGGGAAGGCCTGCCTCGTGGCGTCCTGGGCAAACCGGGACTGTTGGTCACTCGAGCGTGGGTCTCGGCTTCCTTCCCCTTACTCCCCTGCCCCCGGCCCCGGAGGCCTCATGGACCCCCAGGGTGGCCATGTCCACCCCACCCCGGGCATCTTCCCCAAGACCCCCACCCTTACTCCCCGACTACCGGGGCTGCCTGACCCCCACGACTGGAAGGCCTCGAGGCCAGCACAGGCGGGCCATCCAGGCTTGGGGCCGGGGCCACCTCCTGACCCTGAGATCACCTGGTCCTCCCTGAGGTCTGACCCCCCCACCCCCTCCGGTTGGTCAGGGGACAGTGAGGAGCCATCAACTTGCAGGGGAGTCTCGGTGACTCCCTGGTCTCTGTGGGTCTTGGCTCTCTCGGGGAGCCTGCCTCAGTTTCCCTCTTACTCTGCTGGTCCCACCTGTAGGTCCAGACGGGTAGGGGGGATCCTCTGCGTCCCCCGAGGCCACTGACTTGAGCTGTGTGTCACAGACGTAATTCAAATTATATACAAAAGGATTGACCCGGCCCTGGGGAGGGAGGGCCACAGTTAGGGGAAAATCGTGCTCTGAGTGCCTCGAGATAACCAATTTCCCAAAACCAAAAAATTTTTTTGAAGAAAAATAATTTGGGGCCGGCCCAGTGGCTAAGCAGTTATGTTCACATGTTCTGCTTCTCGGCAGCTCAGGGTTCGCTGGTTCAGATCTTGGGTGTGGATATGGCACCGCTTGGCAAAAACCGTGCTGTGGTAGGCATCTCACATATAAAGCAGAGGAAGATGGGCACGGATGTGAGCTCAGGGCCAGTCTTCCTCAGCAAAAAGAGGAGGATTGGCAGCAGTTAGCTCAGGGCTAATCTTCCTCAAAAAAAAAACCCCAATAAAGTTGTAAAAATTTAGAAAGAAAAGAACCCATCAATGGATGGATGGATACAGGCAACATATCCGTACACACACTGGAACATGATGCAGCCGTGAAGAGGAGCGAGGCCCTGACACAGCCACACGTGGACGGACCTGAACACACAACGCTCAGGGAGAGAAGCAGACACAGAAGGATACATGGCGTGTGGCCCCATTGACGTGAAACATCCAGAACAGGCAGATCCACAGACAGGGAGCGGGCTCGTGGGGGCCAGGGGCTGGGGAGGCGGTGGGGGAGACTGCTGATGGGATGGGGTTTCCAATTGGGGTGATGAGAATGTTCTGGAATGAGAGAGAGGTAAATGGTTGCACCACCTTGTGAATGCACTAAATGCCGCTGAACTGTACACTTTAAAATGGCTAATTGCATGTTATGTGAAGTTCTCATCAAAAAAAACAAGAAAAGGAGCTGGTTTCCCCCCGAGGGCCAGAGGGGAACCCCACAGGGAATCCAGGAGGCCTGGCCAAGGGCCAGCGGGCTGTGAGGGGGCTCTGCAGTTCTTGCTTATCCACCATCACTTCTGCTCACAGAATCCTGGTCTTTCTTTTCTGGGGACCCGCCCCTCCTCCAATTTCAGCCCACATCCTCGTATGAGAGGGGCTGACTCTGCCCCGTTTCCACAGCAGGCTAATGAGAACCAGCCTTGGGGCATTTTCTGCGACGATTGAGAAAGGTGCTGTCGTCCTGCAAGGGCTGCTGGGATGTCAACCCAGAGTCTCCAGGTGCTTCTGCTCAGAGAGTGAGGGTGACACAGAGAATGAGAGATGAAGTGAGAGAGATTAGTAATGACAGTGATAGACTCCTGGATCCAGCTGTGCCTGAACCCATCCGACATACCATAAAACGTCCTTCTTTTCTCTTCAGCCAGCTCCTGTTGTTTATCACTTGAAACAAAAGCATTCTGCCTCCTGAGCTGAAGTACACTAAGCAGAAGGAGCAAGGAGGCAGGGCTTCAGGAACCGCTGGATCCAGGACCTGCAGCCCCATGACCTCTATGCCCATCTCTGCTCATCTTTTCAAGCTGCTTTATTCTCTTTCTCTCTGGTCTCTCTCAACAATCTTCATGACGGCCACGACCTCCTCTAAGTTGCCATCAAGGACAGAGGCCTATTCAGGTCTTCTGATCCCAAGATCAAAAACCCTAGGACAACTGGAAAGACGGAGAAATAACGGCCAACCCAGCAGCCGTGAGCACCCTGGTGCCCAGACTGTGGTCTCTAAATACTATTTGTGGCACCCACCGCCAGTCCGTGGGCAGGTTGCAACCTGCAGCCCCCCGCGAACCGAGCGTGGAGGGCGCTGGGGAGCGCATCCCGGGAAGACGGCCCCACGGTGTCTGGTCCTTCCCTCCAGGCCTGCACTCAACGCGGGGGGCCCCAGAGGCGGGCACTGCAGAAGGGGGCCCCGAGCAAGCCTGGGGCGGCGGACAGCGGACACCGAGGGGGACCCGGGGTCGCGGAGGCCCAGCAGCGGAAGGGGGAGGCCCGGATGCTCGCAGCGCGGGGCGCCTGCCTCCCTCTGCTGCCAGAACCGAAAACCGGCCAACAATGCGACAGGGCCTCCAGGCAACAGACGACAAAGGATGAGCAAGGGGACGGCTCGGGGGTCCCCCTGGTGGCGAGTCAGCGACGACCCGTGACTCCTCCAAAAGGGGGTTCAGATCGCACCCCTCCCCTCCTCTGAGCGACTCTGGCGGGTCCCTGCACTCTTTGCCTTGTTTGTTTAATCGTGAATAACACGCTGGCACGTGGCAAGAATACAGTCACCAGCCGGATGTCGCGGGCCGTGCCCAGCTGGGTACCACTCTGAGCGCCTGAGTGCAGACGCAGCCCGCATCCCGAGTCACGTGGCCAGAAAGCCCCGCCTCCCGGGCCCGCCCACTCTCGCCCAAGCCACTTCTTCCGGTTCTCCCCGGAAGTGACTGCAAGTGTCTTCCGGGTCTGCGCGCGCAGCGGTGGCCGGCTCCGGGCGTCGCGCGGGCAGGCTGCCCGGGGTGGGGCGGGGCCTCCCTGCGCGCCTGCGCGCTGCGGCGGCCGCGCCTGCGCGGTGCGTCCGGATCGGGTGGGGCCGGGGTCACCCTGAGCTGCGGACGGCGCCGAGATGCTGAGCAGGTTCCTGGGCCCGCGCTACCGCCAGCTGGCCTCGAACTGGTGAGGACGCGGCCCCCGCCCCCCGGCCGGGACCCCGGGTCGTGCCGGGGCACAGATGCGGAAACTGAGGCACGGAGAGGCGGAGCGGTCCGTCCCGAGCACACGTGCATGGCGGGTCCGCCGGCCCCGTGGTCAGCAGCTCTGAGCCTCAGTTTCCCCACTTCTACCTGGGGGCCGCGGTGGCGCCGACCTGGACGGACACGGCCAGCAGCCTCGGCTCAGGACCCCTGGGGCCTGACCACGGAGCCTGCACGTCCCCGGCTTTGCTTTTGCTTTTTTTAAGATGTTGAACAAGGAGCGTGACACCGACGGCTGCACCTGTCCCTGCCCCCAGTGGGAGGCGGGCGGGACCGGGGTGACCCCACGTGGCAGCCGGGATTGGGGTGACCTGGGCAGGGAGTGGGTGAGGGGTGGGGGCTGCCTCAGGGCAGTGGCTCTGGCAGGGACCTTGAGGTGGACACTGACGGTGGTGCCTCACTGCTGGGGTGACCCAGGCCCAGGACCACGCAGGCCGTCCCTGGCATCAGGGGAGAGCCACCGGCGGCCCATGCAGCCCCTGTGGCCGTCAGCTGGGAATTCCCGGGGGCAGTGGATCGGGTCCCATCTGTGCTGGGTTAGGGCAGGGACGTTTCCCCCAGGCCTTCACTCGGCTTCACCGAGCACGGACAATGTGCCAGCACCCAGCACCACGTTGGGTGCCAGAGACTCAGTGAGAAACCGAAACCCCATGGCTGACGTGCTAGTCGGTGGACCAGAACAAGTGAACAATTGAGATCTGGTATGAGGCGGACGTAAGATAAGATAAGATAAGAGGGGACCACAGAGAACTGAGTGACAGGTGTGCGGCACTGTCCTGCTGGCTTCCGGAGGCCAGGAAGCAGGACTCATCCCCAGCAGGCACTGTGGGGTTGTGGCTCAGACTCAGGACTGTTGAGTGTCCACGCTCACCAGCCGGGGGACCCTGCCCGTCACCCCCTCCCTGAGCCCTGGTGTCCTCGTCTGAGAAAGGGGGGAAGAGGTTGGAGGGCGTGACGAGGAAGTCCCATGAGGGGTCATCCTCATCGTCACATCCTTCCTAGATGCCCTGTGGAGGTCGGGTCCTCAGGACCCCAAGGGGAGTGACCATGACGATGCGGGAGGCAGGGGCCTCCCCGAGGGAAGGCTCCTCTGACATTAACAAGCCTCAAGCTGTGGAGCTGTGGCAGGCAAGATGCCCTCTCTGTTCATGACACCTGCCCCAGAGCTTGTTCCAAAAGTGGAAGTAATCCATGACCCCACTGGGGCCCGAAGTCGAGCTGTGTGGGCCGGGATGCAGGGAGCCGGGCCTGGCCCACACTTGGGGGGTTGTCACTGGCGAGGCAAGTTTGGGGAGGGCGCGGAGCTCATACAACCTATGGAAACAAGCCTTCTGCCTCCTCATCTCAAGGAGCAACCCCCCTCCGACACCCCAGGCACGTGGTTTACGACGGGCCAGCGAGGTGGGCCCGTGGGTTCAAATGCCAGCCCTGCACAGGCCAGTAGTGGGGCCTGTGATAGCTTCTGATGGCCGCGTGCCCAGCGGACCCCCGATTTAGCAGCTTAGCAAACACCTGTTAAGTCACGGTTTCTGTGCATCAGGACTCAGGGCGCAACTCAGCTGGACCCTCGGCTCAGGGTCCCGTGAGGCTGCAGTCTCAGCTGAAAGCTCCCCCTCGGGGGTCTGTTTCCAGGCTCGAGCACGAGGCTGTTGGCCGGGGTCTCACCTCACTTCTCTGCCACGTGGGCCCCTCTGGAGGTGGCTCCCGATGCAGCAGCTGGCTTCCCCCAGAGGGAGTCAGGGTGAGCGGGAGCGCCCGTGATGGAGGCTCATCTGGGGGGTGACTCCTCTCACCTTCGTGTTTTATTCATTAGAGGCCAGTGACTGGGTCCTGCTGACGCTCAAGGGGAGGGTTGTACAAGGGCATGAGCTCCAGGAGGCGGGAATGCTGGGCCATCCTGGACCCTGCCCATCGCAGGACATACATGTGGCGTGTGGTGGACTTGGAGCCCCCTGCCTCTGCTGTGTATGCTCAGGGGAGTGACTCACCCTCTCTGTGCCTTCGTCTCCTCATCTGTAAGACGGACCCTGGTTTTCATGCCATCAGTCCTAGCACTGTCACAGGGATCTACGAGTCACTAAATTGCGTAGACCGTCCTTGCATGTAGATGTTAGCTATCGTGCTAGTGGTTCCAAGCTTGGGTTCTGTTTTTTCTTAGCAGCAGAATTCCCCAAAGAAAACCTGAAGCGGATCCCAATATGAAAGCAGATGGGAGTGGAGTCCCCTCGGGGGTCTCCTGGCTCATGTTCCCCCTGTAGGGCCATCAGCAGGATGTGTCCACGCTCTGGGCAGGGGCCGGGCACATGATGATGGGGGTTTGATAAATGGTGACTTGGGATGGGGGGGACCCGGATGTGCTCCTGGCAGGACGAGGCCTGACCCCCCCACCCCCACCCCACCCCGCTGTCCTCTTGCAGGATTCCCACGGTGAGCATGTGGGGTGCCGTGGGCACCGTGGGGCTGGTGTGGGCCACCGACTGGCGGCTGATTCTGGACTGGGTGCCCTATATCAACGGCAAGTTTAAGAAGGACGATTAATTACGCCCCCGGTGGAGCCCCCTGGTAGGTAAGCATCGGCCGCTGTCGGCAGGGGAGCCCTGGGGTTTCTGCCTGCAGGGGTGGGGGCTTCCACTCGTGGTCGGTTCCAGGGCTGGGGTGGCAGGTCCCGGGGGCTCCCTGGGACCGTGCGCCCTGGAGAGTCCTGCCTGATTCCGGGCACCTCCCGCCTATCGGCACAGCCGGCTGGCAGCCTCAGTCTGTGGACTGGGGAGTGGGCACTGCGCCCCCAGTGCTCCATCCTGGAGCTTCACCCTACAGCCCGCGCTGTGCCTGCCATCTCAGTCTCCCCAGCCCCTGGCGGGACGGAGGGCTGCCCCACTTTACGGGCTGGGAAGTTGAGGCTGGCCCGCAGCCGCTGGCCTCTCTGGATGGGCTGCTGTGAGCATTAATGACACCTTGGGCTCACCCTCTGTGTCTCTGACGTGCCCGTCACTGTCGCTGTGCTGACCACACTGTCCGTGTTACTAGCTCATTGCCCACATGGTGGTCTGGTGTGCGCACGCCACTTACACGCCATTTCTAGATGGGGACCTGAGGCCCAGGACACGCAGCCCCTAAGGGGCACGGCTAGATTTGCCCTTGGAGCCTGGCTGTGGCGTCTGTGTTCCTCCTCGCGGCTCGCTCTTTGTCATAAGCACGACGGCCCGGAGCCCTCTGCTCACCCTGCCTTGCTCCCCCTCCAGGTGTCAGTGGTGCCTGCTCCTTCCATCTGCATCTGGAACAGTCCAAGCCCTCAGGATGGACCGCGAGGAAATCCACAGTGCAATTCAGGACTTTCTGTGTTTCTAGAAACATCTCTGATCGAGTGCACACAGCATTAAACCTCGCTCTGAAACCTGCCCACTTGGACCTGGTGATGCTGGGGACTTGGTTACCCTGATTGCAGGCCCAGTGGCTCTGGTGACCTGGGGGTCCTTTCAGCTCCAAACTTTTGCAAATCTAGGAGCTTCCCGGTGGCTGGCAGAAACTGATTACTTAAGATGTTCAATGGGTAATACCTGCATGGTGTATTTTTTTAATCTATTGCCGCCTTAGCAAATTACCCCACGATTGAGTGGTTTAAAACAACAAACAGGCATTATCTCATGGTTTCTGTTAGTCGAGAATTTGGGAGTAACTTAGCTGCAGGGTCCTAGCTCAGGGTCTCTCATGAGGGGGCAGTTAAGCTGTCATCCGGGGCTGCCTCATCTGAAGGCTCGACTGGGGCCAGAGGAGCTGCTTGCAGGATGGCTCCCTCGTGTGGCGGCCGGCGGGAGGCCTCGGCTCCCCCTCCAGGTGGGCCTCTCCACAGCACCGCCTGAGCCTCCTCACAATATGGCAGCTGGCTTCCCCAGAGAGAGCCAGCTGGAGGCCACAGTCTTTTATGACCTACCCTCCAGAGTGTCACGCCGTCACTTCCTCCACATCCTGTTGGTTAGGAGCAACTCCCTAAGTCCCGCCCACACTCGAGGGGAGGAGGTCGGGCTCTGCATCAAGGAAGGGTATCAGAACTTGTAGACGTGTTAACCCGCCCCGTGAGAGAGAAAGAACGAGCAGGCACATGAGGACATGCAGCGCATGGTCATTTCCCTCCCTGGTACCCTGGGCCCACTTCTCTCCAACTCTCGCCCAGGTCTTGAAAACTCTAGAAACATTCTCTGCATCAATAAGCATATTTTAAGCGTATTTGTGGAAACAGCTGTTCTACTGTCTGCTCGGCCGCTGTAAGAGAGTCCCGCGGACTGGGTCACTCACACAGCAGGGAGGCTGGAAGGCCAAGATCAAGGTGCTGGCAGGGCAGTTTCTGGTGAGGGCAGATGGCCGCCTTCTCGCCGTGTCCTCACGTGGCCTTTCCTTGACACGCGCAGAGGGAGGGAGAGAGAGAGCGAGGGAGCTGTCTGCTGCCTCTTAGCATGACACGAATCCTACGGGATCAGGGCCCCGTCCTCTGACGTCATTTAACCTTCGCTACATCCTTAGAGGCCTGGTCTCCAGATGGCCACGCTGGCCGTTAGGCCTTCAACAGATGCATTTCAGGGGGGACACACCTTCAGCCCATGACAGCTGTATGTCCTTTAACACAACTGGTGGCCTTCACCACCCACCTCTCTGTCCATATTATTCCACCTAAAGCTCATCTCCCGGAGGCTATACCCCCTCTGAAAGTAGTGTCCCCCGTTTCTGACCGGCTGCCCAGACCATTTCTAACTAGTCCACCAGCAAGGGATTCATTCACTGCCTGTCAAATAAGGCGTGATCTTATTTCAGACATAAATGAATAAACCTGTCAAGTGAACACCCGTGAGTGGTGACCTGGGAGATGAGCGAATCGCTCTGAAATCTGGTTAACAATGTTCAGCTCCTGCCGGTAGACAGCCCCACGGCCCGCCTGAAGCAAAAGGAAACACGCCCCCGGGGCACAAATTTTTATATATTTTCGTAAAGCTTAGTGGTTTTCATGAAAATAGAGCCGAGTTTGCTTCCATGAAAGCCAGGAAAGGAAAAATTCTAATAAATTCAGGTTTTGGTATTAGTGGAACCTAATTCAAGCTTAAACTATTTTGAACTTTAATACAATTCCTTTTCAGTGCTTTAATCCTTTTTCAACCACTTTAACATTTGCGGGGTGGGGGGCGGGAGTTAACCATTGAAAACTGACGTAAAACCACGTTTGAAGGGGCGCGCCTTTCTCGTTTTGTCTCGAGCTCCGAAATGGCTGCACACAGCAGTTCCATCCCATGTGCATTTAAAATTTCGACATTTTGTTCATCATAGACTTTTTGCACTCGTTTTGAATTGTTAAAATGTCGCACTCACACCATTCACTTTGATGACTGGCGTTTTGGGCACCCCCTAAATCTTGGGCACAGGAGAGTGACTGGCTTGCCTCCTTATTAGTTTGCAGGGACCCTTGGCAGTATCTGGGGACATCTGTGGGTGTCACACTGGGGGAGCTCCTGGCATCGAGCGGGTGGGGCCAGGGATGCTGCTCAACCCCTCACAGTGCCCAGGACAGACCCCCAGATAGTGACCCGGCCCTGATGTCCACAGTGTACAGGGGGAAGACAGACCCTGCCATCAAAAATCTTTTAAAGACTCCTCACTTGACATCTGGTCATTTATTTTGTTTTCTTCCCTTGGGGACATGGGCAGGAGCGGGTGTCTGCTTGGGGACGGAGCCAGCCGGCCCGGGAAAAGGAAGTTTATTTCAAAGGAGCAAAGAGCAAGGAAGGTCCAGCTGAATGAGACAGGAACCGGGCTGCCCGTCCTTCCATCCTGGGGTCTCCCTGCCCGCTGGCACCTTGGGGTCCGTCCTTCCATCCTGGGGTCTCCCTGCCCGCTGGCACCTTGGGGTCATGTCCTTCCTCCCTGTCAGGCCCCAGGCCAGCTCAGAGGGCCTCTGGACCAGCCCCTCGGGGGACAATCCCAGGGGCCTGGTTTGGGCCGTGTGACCCCCACGGGTCCACTGTCCACGCTCGGGTCAGCCTTGGCCCAAGGGGGTCAGGTTACCAGAGAAGCGAGTGAGGGCCGGCGGGGCTGGATTCCTGAGGTCGGGCACCTGCAGCTTGTCTTGGAGGGCGGTCCTGGAGGTCAAAATCCTGCGACCCAACGCCACACGCCTCTCAGGATGGTCACCGTGGAAACCGGCGGTGCTGGTGAGGATGTGGAGAAACTGCAGCCCTTGTGCACTGCTGGGGGGACTGGACGGGGGCGGGCGCCACGGGAAACAGGATGGCGGCTCCTCAAAAGATCAGGGGCAGGATCACCTCGTGAGCAAGCAACCCCACTTCTGCATATACGCACAGAAGGGAGCCGGCCTGGTGGCACAGTAGTTAAGTTCGTACACTCAGCTTTGGTGGCCCGGGGTTCACAGGTTCGGATCCCCGGCACGGACGTACACACGACTCATCAAGCCATGCTGTGGCAGTGTCCCATATACAAAATAGAGGAAGATGGGCACAGATGTTAGCTCAGGGCCAGTCTTCCTCAGCAAAAAGGGAGATTGGCAATGGATGTTATCTTAAGGATAATCTTCCTCACCAAAAAAAAAAAAACAAACTCAGAAATGAAAGCAGGACCTGAGGGGGTCCCCAGGACCCCCAACACAAGCAGGTTAATACTTTTTCCTTTCCACGTATTCACGTGGTCTCACTGATTATGACGAATGCATTTATCTTTGTAACTCTAATTGTTAAACTAAGACGGAAGATTGTAGATGCTGGAAGATGACAGGCCCAGCGGGTGAGAGTGTTGCCCACCACGGGAGGCCGAGGTCCTGGGTTCGGGCGTGAACGACCAGCTTTGTGATGTAGGGACGCCCGTTCTGGGTGCCCATCTGGCCGCTTACCGTGACAGAGCAGCCTTGTCACCCGAGGCTGCTGCTGTCTACACAGCCAGCCCCCTGGGGAACCCAGGAGGGAGGGGGACACAAGGAACTGAGAAGTCACTAACCTGAAGGCTTTAAAATAAACCAGTGACACTTGCCTGCCCGGGACTTCGGTTTCTGGCCCAGGATGTGCCTCCAACCTGAGCATGGATCCCGGGGCCACAGGGCCGGGAAGACACCTGCGGGGATGAGCCAGGTGTGCAGACCACCCCCGGAGCAGATGCTAGGACAGGCCGGTTGTGGGGGGCCAGCCGCCTGTTGTCACTGGCCACAGCCCTGGCCACTCACTCAGGATCTTTTCTTTTTTTCTTTTTTGAGGAAGATTAGCCCTGAGCTAACTGCTGCCAATCCTCCTCTTTTTGCTGAAGAAGACTGGCCCTGAGCTAACATCCGTGCCCATCTTCCTCTACTTTCTATGTGGGACGCCTACCACAGCATGGCTTGCCAAGCGGTGCCATGTCCACACCCAGGATCTGAACCGGCGAACCCAGGGCCACCAAAGTGGAACGTGCACACTTTAACTGCTGCGCCACCCGGCCGGCCCCAGGATCTTTTCTTAAACAGCTGCCCTGGGCGGGCTGGGCTCTGCCCTGGGGAGGGACTGAGCAGGGAGACCACCTGGACCCTCCGGCTGGGCAGGGGAAGGAGTCATGGGGGAGGGGGACAAACGTGGGGGCGGGAGACTCCATAGGAAGGTCCTGGACTCCCAGGCCACAGACGGGGACCGGCCTAAGGTGGTGTCACGGGAAGTTCGGTCTCTGACCTGGGCGCCAATCCAAGTAACGAGATCAGAGTCTGGGGTGAAAAGGAAAGACAGCTTTATTCTCTCTGCAAGGCCAAGGGCACAGCGGCCGGCCAGCACCTTAGGAACTGCTCGCTGCTCGTCAAGAAGTGGGCGGGGGGTTAGAGGGGAGGTCCCAGGGTCCAGCTGGGGGCTACCTGCCAGAAGGCACTTCTCTTTCCTGCTGGTGGTCTCAAGATGGCCGGGCGGGCGCCAGACCTTGTCCGCTGACCCTGATGTTTTCCTTCTTTTTGGCCGGCGAGATGCAGGACACAAGAACCAGGCCCCTTCACTGCTCCATGTCATCCGGACTCCCCGGAACCAGGGTGATTCTTAAGTCCTAAGGAAGGGGGGGGCAGGGAGCAAAGGCAGAGAAACCAGAGAAAGGAAAACCTACACACACTTGGAACGGCCAACCTCAGCGGCTGGGAAAGTGTCGCTTCAGACGAGGAAGACACTGCCAGCCAGGCTGTTATCGAACCTGTAAATTCCTAATTTGAGACAGAAACAGCCCGTAACGCAGGCCCCGCTGTCGACTTTGCTTTCGTTTCTACGGGAAAGGGGCGTCGCGGTCGTCTGGCTGCTTCCTGCTGAACCGGGGCGACGCCGGTGGGTTTTCGAGGCGGAAAGCTCCAAGGTGCTTCTGCCAGTTTTCTTTGCGGGCGGTTGGGGTCTCAGTCGAAATTCTGCAAATACCAGGAACGCACCAGAGAACGAGTTTAAACGTAAGGTACACGCCAGCCACCAAGAGGAGCAGAGAGAAACCGAGAGGTAGAACGCTGGACAATGTGGACCGGATCCCTGCCGGGACCCGGGAGGATAAACCCGAAAACCAGCCGCCGACGCCCGCGTCCACACCCTCCAGCTCCGAGGAGGCGCCAGGACCCAAGGGCTGTTGCAGCCAGGTAGCCTGGCGCCTGATCTTTTCGACGCTGGTTTCTACTTGTGACGAGGTGTTGATATACGTGCAACAGGAGGCGTTGGCTACAGCGCAAACCCCACCGCGTTCGGCAAGCATGTAGTCCAAGGCCATCCGATTATCCAAGACGACCTTGGCCAGCGAGTCGAGGGAGGCGTGCGCGTTAATGAGGGACTTGGCCGTTTCGTTCGCGATGACGGTCAGCGTGCGAGACAGGCTGCGGAGGACGTGCGGGTGGCCCGCGCCGCCCCGCCAGGGCAGCAGCGTGGACCCGAAGAAATACTCGTCCCCGGCAGGAACATTGCCCGGCAAGTCCCGGGCGACCCGGGTGTATAATTTTAAGGAGCTTGCCCAGTGTTTCGATTCGTTCAGACTGTGGAGCGAGAAAGGGGTGACCAGGTTTCCGAGGAGACACTGAGTGGAAACAGTGAAATTGTGGAGGCATTCTGTGGCCCAGGGGTAATTATTAATCTTGCAAACGAAAACGTGGCCGGGAGGGGCACAGAAGACCTTACTTTCCCCTTCGATGTGAGTGTAGTAGCCCACGGAGCTGTTAGTGTAGAAATAGTAACCCACTTTGAATCCGGTTCGTTCCATCCACGGCCGCTCCAGAAACGAATAGTCGACCACCGACTTGATGTCCTCCGCTGGGTACCTGGCGGACCGCTGGGCGCACATGGGGAGCTGCCCCGAGGGCGGAGGCGGCGCCATCTCAAAGTACTCGGGGATCTGCTGGGGGCCCTGGGTCCAGTACAAGGCGGGACTGGAGGAGAGAGGAAGCGTCAGACAGGCGATGTTGGCGGGGTTCTCGTGGGGGAAGTGACTGATGCGCACCCGGTACATAAGGGTGCGAGCCCGGAGGTCTCTCGTGGGGACCCAGTCTCCGTCGGGGACTTGGGTGAAGTCCGAGACGGGATGCACCAGGGGGTCCCCGTGATCCGCAGTGGACTGAGCTCGCGGAAGGCAAATCCAGCAGTCCACGGCCTGCGTCGAGTTGGCGATGGTTTGTGCGATGCGCACCAGAGAGTTGTCCAGCCAGGCGGCAACTGGGAAATACAGGGAACAGAAAGAAATCAGCAATGCGACGAACCTCATGACTGTTTTCGGAAGAGCAACTTAAGACCCTCCCTCCGGCGGTCTGCTTTCCCCACTGGCGGCTGGTCTCCTCACGCGGTCTCACACCCGCCAACTAAAGGGATGGACGGCTGGTGAACAACACGTCACAGGGCCCCTTCCACTTTCCTGCAAGTTGCTGTTCCGGCCCCGGTTCCTGCCACGCCGTCAGAAGCACCTTGTCCTCCGGCTGGAACGGATGCAGCGAAGTCTCACGTCCGGGTGGCGACCTGGAGGAGACAAACTCACGCACAGTAGTTAATATCTGCCCTAGGTGCTGTGCTCGGTTTCAATTTAATTTCCGTGATTGCGTGGGGTCCCCCCCGTCCCCGTGGAGCTAGGAAGGGTCTCCCATACATTTCGTAAGGGCTTAATGCAAGCCCACTTCCAGGGGTCACCCTGCCACAGAGGAGGGCAACTGGGCGTGGTCTGTCCCGGTTCACATGGGTCTCTTGGCCACGTCTGGCCACTGTCCTCTTCTCGGTGTGACTCATCTTTTCCGTTTTTCCCGGGCACTGGGGTCTCCGAGAGGCACTCGGCTTCCGTTTGAACCTTACTTACGGTTGTGTAGCTTCAGCCACAAAGGCGGGTCCATTATCGCTCTGGACGCTAGGTGGCAGTCCGAACCCAGGACAATTTCTCTCGGCAAGCACTTGGCCACCTCGGCGGCTTTCTCAGTTTGGGTGGGCGACGCCTCTATCCACGCTGAAAAGGTGTCTACAAACGCCACTGAGCGTTCATGCTCCCCGTTCTCTCAGGCACTTCTGTAAAGTCCACTTGCCCGTCCTCACAAGGTCGTTCCCGGGGTACTGAGCCCCTCCGGTGGGGGCGGTCCTTCCATCTTTGGGTTGTTCCCAGCCCAGATCGGGCAGGAGCGGGGGGGCCTTCCGAGCCAGCTGGCGCCGCGTGGGCCCTGTAAGGCGAGGCCGTGACAGGTCACGAAGGCACCTCTCCCGCAATGGGTGCACTCGTGCAGGGACCCGATCAAGGGCCACCCCAGGGCCTCAAGGAGGAGAACGAGCCCAGGAGGGTTTATCTTGCATTTACGGGAAGGGCCCCGTCATCGAAACCCCATTCCTGTGCCCTTTTAGGTCCTCTCCGTAAGAGAGGGGTCACACGGACTCACATCTAATCGTGGGATGAGGGCCCCGAAGAATTCACATCCCTTAGCAGCCTTGTCCGCCATCCAATTTCCAGGAGCCACACACGAGCCAGTCCTTGGACGGCCTGAGCAGCGCATAATCGGGTCCGTCACCACTTGGACCCGAGCTGAGATTTCTGGAGCATGTCTTCCCTTTATTTCCGCCATCAGCAGCCCCCCCGTCCTTCCGCATGGCCCCGTGAGCATGGGCCACCACGAACGCATACTTCGAAATGGGGTACACATCCCCCTTTTCTCCCTTTCGACAGTTGCCAGGCCCTCATGAGGGCAATCCATTCTGCTTTTGGGGCTGATGTCCCCAGAGGAGAGGGCTGTGCCTCGATGACCCTATCCTCAGCCCCCACAGAACAGCTGGCTCGTCTCTGCCCGTCGCCCCCAGAGCCGCTGCCATCCATGAACCGGTCCCGATCGGGACGTGTCGGGGGCTGAGCCGACAAGTCTAAGCAGCTTGAACACACAGGTTCTTGGACTCCTGGGCACCTGTGAGGGCTGACGTCATTCTGAGGTCGGAAGCGACGTGTCAGAAGTCAAGGCTGTCTTGGTCTTTCAGGTGACATTAGGGTCGGCTGGCAAATAGCCTGGTATCTGCCCATTCCCCCGGCGGTTTGCCGATATCCCTCTTTTTGTTCAAGGAGGACAAGCACTGGACGGGGCACAAAGACCACCGTGGGCTGTCCCAGGGTAAACCATTCTGCTTCCTGCGGCAGGTCACAGGCGGCCACTACAGCCCGCAGGCACGGGGGCCATCCTTGGGCGGTGTGGCCCAATTGTCTGGATAAGTTGGCTAGTGGTCTGGGGACCTCCCCCAGAAGTTGCACCAATACTCCCAGAGCTGTCCCCTGCCTCTCGCATACATAGTTTAAATTCTTTCTTTAAATCTGGGGGGCCTGGGGCCGAGTGGTTGGGTTCACGCGCTCCACTTTGGCAGCCCAGGGTTTCACCGGTTCGGATCCCGGGTGCGAACATGGCACCTCTCATCAGGCCATGCTGAGGCAGTGTCTCACATGCCACAACCAGAGAGACCTTCAGCTAGAATACACAACTACATACTGGGGGGCTTTGGGGAGAAGAAGGAAAAAAAAAAGGAAGAAGATTGGCAGCAGATGTGAGCTCAGGGCCAATCTTACAAAGTCAATCGATCAATCAATCTGGGAGGCCCAAGGCCGGTGCAGCCAATAACTCCTGCTTCAACGTCCCGAATGCCCTTTGGCATCCTCCTGACCACACGAGGGGGTCTGTTTCCCTTCCCTTTAAGGCATCACACAAGGGCTTGGCTATTAGTCCGAAATCGGGAATCCAGATCTGACAGAACTCTGTCTCGCCTAAAAACCCTCATAACTGTCTTCGGTTCCGAGGGCGTCTCACCCGTGAAATTGCCTGTCGTGGGTCAGACGTCAAGTTGCAGGCGCCCTGGCTTTTCTGGAAACCCAGCTAGACCCTTTGTGGTTTACAGATCTGGGCCTTCCTGGGGGACACCTTGCAGCCATGCCAAGCAAGATATGGCTTAGCGCTACGATGGCGTCATCCAGCCGCTGCCGGCAACCGGGACTTGCCATCAGGAAATCATCAGCATGTTGTAGTAACGTCCCCTGAGTGAGCTGGAGTCCCCTCAAGTCTTTCTAAACAGGGTGTCGCTAAACATGGAAGGGGCGTTATTAACCCCGAGGCAACACGGTCCAACGATGTTGTTCTGTGACCCATGTATCCGGGTCTTGCCCCTGGAAGGCAAACAACAGTTGAGACCTTCTTTCCAACGGAATGCCAAGGCCAGCGTCCTTCAGGTCCAGCACCGAGGACCAGCCGCGCTCCTCCGGCAGCGCAGTGACCAGCGTACGGGCTTTGCCGCTGTTGGCCATATGTCCCACACCAAGTCCTTAATGGCTGTCAAATCCTGCACAAACCGGTCCTCATCTGAGCGTGGCTTCCGCCTGGTGAGAGGGCCGTCGTGTTGCATGGTGGCGGCGGGGCCTCATCAGCCGAGGCAGCAAGAACCTGCTGAACCGTTGGACGCCTCCCCAGGCCTCTTTCTTCAGGGGACACTGTCGCTTTCTCGGACAAGGGGCTCCTTCCTCAAGTTCCGTTCTTACTGGGGTGGCAGACCGAGGCTGTCCGGGCACCCCAGCAGCCCAGCCGGCTGTACTCACTCGCTCGCAGGCCTGGGTGGGGCTGGGGGGGTGTCTGGGGGGGGGGGCGCCGCCACGGTCTGCGCACATTTTCCGGTGGCACCTGCAGGCAGACCTGTTTCTTCCCGGATGAGAGTTATCTGAGCATTCAGCTTACAAAGCAAATCCCGTCCAACGAGGGGGACGGGACCATCTGGGACACATAAAAAGCCACGTTTCAGCTTTTGTTCTCCCAAGACGCACCCCAGCAGCTGCAGCACGGGCCTCAGTGGAGAGTCACCCGGGATTCCAACAATGTCACTCCAGGACGTCAACTGCAAGTTTAACACTGAAAAGTGGCACCAGTGTCCACCAGAAAGCCAACCGATTGGCTTGTACCGGGGCTCACGCGTACCCGGGGCTCACGGGGGACTGTTGAAACGGGAGCTGCCAGCACAGCAAGGAACCAGGGCCCCGTCAACCATTGACCTCGTCCTCTGAGTCTCAGACTTGTCCTGAGCTGCTCCGGGGGCTCCGCCTTCCCCCCCGCCCCTGGTGCCTTTCTCTAACTTAGGGCACTGGTTTCTCCAGCGCCCCTCTTCTTTGCAGCAGGCACACCTGCTTTTCCTCCAATTTTTGGCGTCCCTTCTTCCTCGGCCTGGGGCCCCCTTTTCTGTCCCTCCCATCTCGGGGGGGGGGTGGGGCGGGCTGTGTCAAACACCTTGACCACCCTTGCTCTATGCTCCTCTCGAGCATTAGAGACTTTGAAAGCGATTTCCACCAACTGACCAGCACTCCCAGCTACGGCCACTTCCACCAGCCTGAGCTGCCTCCTACTGTCCGGGGGGCTCTGTTCAATAAAGGTCATGTTGACTGCCCGGGGGGCTCCCGGGTCTGGGTCAGTATTCTTTTCTATATGCCTGATACGTGCGTTCTAATCACGCCACAGGATTTTCTCCCGGTTCTTGCTGGAGCTCCTGAATTTTGTTTAAGCTCCTTTGTCTGGGGACTCTGAAAATCCAGCCAAGATGCCCCTCCAGTAACGGCTCAATAACGCATTCCCCGTCATCTGTGCTTGGGTCCCCAGCGGGCTGTACCTGGGGCACGGCCACATAAGGAGCGGGAGGCTGATGGGGATCCTCACCGTGTAAACGCTCAGCCTCTTCCTTGATTTTTAACACGAGGAGCCACTCTGCGCCCGCGAGCATTATCCTTAACAAAGACTGAACGTCCGCCCAAGTAGGGCGGTGGGTAGAAAAAATAGTTGCAAACAAATCTGTCCTCGTTCGTGGATCTTCCCGGTAGGGCGGCTTTTGGCTTCTCCAATTTAGCAAATCAGAAGTTGAAAAATGGGTATAAATTCAATAATAAGTAACCGGTTGCCCCAGGCAACTGGTGCAGAGGAAACTGCCCTGCCTCCGGCCCAGAAGACCCCTGGCCAAAAGGCGGACCCCGGCCCGTTCTCGATGGGGAGACCATTCCTGCTCCTGACTCCTACCCAGGGGGATCCGCTGGGGGTCCAGCTTCCCCTACCGCCCCCTCATACACTAAGGGCAGATACAAAGGGGGCGGTTGCCGCAGGGGCTCCCTCCCACTTGCCATTGTTTGAGATTGCTGTGGGGTCTTCGGGGGCATTTGTGCCACACTGAAATCAGCCTGAAAAGGATTCAGCACACTTAGGGCCGCCTAGTCCTCAGCAAGTTTCTCTTCTGGTGTCTGAGCATCTTCTACCGGAGGCTTAACTTTCCTTTGGAACATCAGCTTGGTTCCTGGCCGGTTCCAATCCCGATTTGTGCAAATGCATAAAAGCCTGCACACACGGAAATCTCATCCGATCGCCCAGACCTCTCAGAGAACAACTCCAACTGCACAAGACAGTATAGGAACTCAGAGTTCCACTCAACGACCGTCTTTCCTCGGTTTTCAAGACATCCATCGTCCAGGCGGTGTTACAATAAAACACCGCTTGTTTCTTAGTCATTGGCTTGTAGCTAAAGGTCGATGGATCAGCCAAAATCTTCGCCGGGGGGGGCTCTTAGGTGGAATAGACGCTGCACCTCCCACATTAACACCTTTGACACAGAGACAGACAACCAACATCCAAACACCAAACAAGCGTGCTTTCCCAAAAAAAAACCCTCGGCCAGCGAATGGGAGCTAGAACAAAGAAACCGAAACCAAAAACCAAAACTCGCGCTTCCACTCCCACTGAGTCCGCGTCCTACACTCGGCGGCGCCCGACACACGAAGAACCGCCCCCGCGGAGCTTCTCAAATGAGCAAGGACAAAGGGACCTCGGTGTGCACACCACGGGGACCTACCCAATCTGGCCTGGGCGTCGCGACTTCTCTTCCCGCTGCTTTCCTTCCCCCCCAGGGTGGTTTCCCTGGTAGCCGGAGGTCCTAAGGGCCGCCGATGGAAAGGACCAGGAGAGAAGGTCCCCGAAGCGAAGCTGGCTTCTGCAGCGGCTGGAGCGCTCTCTCCGACCGTCCCGGGCGCCCCGCGGAGTCGAGGCGAGCAGACGTGGACTCGACCCGGGGTGGAGTCCAGCCGCCCAAGCACCGGCCCTCGGCGATCTGGCCTCCCTGAGCTTTTCTCCAACCCTCCACTCCCCCGATGGGGGCAGGCGCGGAGAGCGAGCCGGGAGCGTCCGATCGAGCCGAGGGATGTGTCAGTGGGGACCACCCACGGGCCCCTTCGTGGTCGCCAAGTTCGTTTGCTACTCGGGGAGAAGGGGGCAGACTCCTGGACCCCGAGACGTCAAGAAAACGCTGGTTGGGATTTGGGGTGTCGGGTGGGTGGTGTCACCGACAACGCCCCCCGAAGTGGACCCCAGGGGAGAACCTGGACGCTGGGAGACGAGGGGGGCGGCGGGATGGAGCACTGGCCTTGACGGGCACCCCAGGATTCAGGCAAGGAAGTGGGGGCACGGGATGGGGGCGAGCCCCCCCGGGTCGTACAGCGCGGCGAAGACCAGGGAGGCAGTGTGCTCGCCGCTTGGACCGCTCGCGTGGCCCAGGGCGCAGGCGCGGGGCGGACGAGCCTCGCGCCGCCGCAGGCCCCGCCCCCTGCCCGCGCGGTGATTGGCGCCGCCTCCGCGGGGCGTGGCCTGCGGCCGCGGGGCGTGGCCTACGCGGCGCCTGCGCAGCACTGGGCCCCGCGCGCGGGCGGGTGGGCGGAGCGGGCCCCCCGAGCGGGGGCTGGCGAGCGCGGGGAGGGGGCCGAGAGGGCGGCAAAGCCGGCGCGCGCCCGGCTGGGGGCGGAGGGTGGGGGCCCGCGGGCCGGAACAGCCGCGGCAAGTGGCGGCGGCGGCGGCGGCGGCGGCAGCTGAGGCGGCGGCGGCGAGCGGGGGTCCGGGCGGCGGCGGCGGCAGCGGCGGCGGGCCGAGGAGCCGGGCGCTATGGAGCGGAAGAGGTGGGAGTGCCCGGCGCTCCCGCAGGGCTGGGAGAGGGAAGAAGTGCCCAGAAGGTCGGGGCTGTCGGCGGGCCACAGGGATGTCTTTTACTATAGGTGAATGAACGTGCCGGCCGGGCAGGGCCCCAACGGGCGCCTCCCAGCGGCCTCTGCGGCGGCCTGGGCTCCCCGACCCGGGCCGCGGCCTGGGCCCCGCGCGTGCGTCGTGCGTGTGTGCGTGCGTGCCTGCGTGCCGGCGCGAGGCCCAGGGCGCGTGCGTGCTGCCGCGCGGCTGGGGGCCCCCGGCCCAGCGCGCGTGCGTGCCCGGCGGGGGCCTGGCCCAGTGCGCGTGCGCGCCCCGCGAGGCCACATGGCGCTCGGGCCGGCCCCCGGGCTGGCGGCGGCCTTTGTTCGGCGGCCGCGGCCGGGCTGCGGGCGGGACGAGGGGCGCCGGGCGCGGGCCAGACGCCGCTGGGAGGCGGGGGTGGGGGCTGGGCTGTCCCTCGGCTCCGCGTGGGGCGCTCCCGAGGTCGCGCGCGGCCCGAGGCGGGTGGCGGGCGAGCTGGGGTTTCGGGGAGCAAGGTTGGCGCTGGGGGTTCGGGGAGGGGCGCGCCTCGGGATGCGGCTTCCCGGGTGGCCCCTCCGCCCTCCGTGGGCGTGTGTCTCCTGCGGTCGCAGAGATCGGGGACCGAAACACCGAGCCCAGCACACACTGGCCTCTGCGTGGACATGACTGGGGGTCTGAGGCTTTCAGAGTACCCCCCACACACCCCCGAATCGGAGGGAGGGGCTGCCCTGGGCCCGGGATCCCCTCCGTGGAACAAAGAGCGCGTGGGCGGTCCGCGGCCCAGCTCTAGGCGGCCGGCCACCTGCTGTTTGTCTTTTCCCTTCCTTTTTTTTGTTTTTTCCTGACGGGTGGAAGATTCCTTTGTTTCTGAGCCAGCTTTGATAGCTCCCTCCCCTTGGCTTCGGGACCCTGGGGCGCCTTCTGGTCCGTAGTGAAAAGGAAGCATGTGGGGCATCTGCCACGTGTTGAATGCCCGCAGGTGCTGGGGGTTGAGCGGCCGGTCGTGGGCCCAGAACCTGGCTGGGTGAGGCGGAGGAGAGGCAGGCCCGCCACCCCACCTAGCCAGCCCCTGGGGCTCCCGGAGGCTTTGCTAGCCCTGTGTTGGGAGGAGAAGCAAGCAGGGAAGGCATGGCCACAGGACGGGCTCGGCTTCTGCTTTCCGACAAGTGCAGGGCGGCGGTGGGGAGCGAGACTGGGGGCCCCCAAGAGGGTGCTGCAATTGGCTGGGACCTTGTCACTTCTGGCATTGAAAGTGACACTGCAAGCAGTGTCCCTTTGGGACACGTGTGTCCATTCTCCTTCATTGCCTCTCTCTGAGGTCACTCCCTCACTGGCGCTTTAGAAGGCCTAAATTCTTGGGGTTTCCTCCTCCTGGGTGGATGGGGAGGCTCCAGCCAGGAGCCGCCCCGTGGGTTAACTCCAGGCAGGCTTGTGTGCTTTTTCTGTTTGGCTCCAAGGGCTTCGGAAGGTCCCCATGTCCAGCCTCTGCAGCGTCTGCTGGGTGTCCGGCACTTCCCAGTCCAGGACCTTCAGCCAAGAGTGTGACCTAGGCTGTCCTCTGTCACACCAGCAGCTGTCACCCCATTACCAGTGGTTACATACACTGAGAGGGGTGGGGACTGACAATGGGGTGCCTGGTTGACGTTGGGGCTATCAGGGAGGGCCTCTGGGAAAAGTTGACACCAGACAAGCCCTGAGAGTGGCACAGGGAGGGGCAGGCCAGGCAGTGGGAAGTGGGTCCAGGCCAGTGCAGAGGCCTGGGAGGCTGGAGTGCTCCAAGATGGTCATTGCCTCCCTGCCCCAAGCAGGGGGCTGGTGGAGGGGAAAAGCAGGGGACAGCTCCAAGCTGGGGCTGGGGGGCATGTGATTTCAGGTTCCCTCCGGCTCCCCTGGGAGGTGAGGGCCTGAGGTGAGAGAGCAGGGGATACGGGGGCCAGGGCTGGCCTGGAGAAGGAGGGGGTCCAGCAGCACTCCCAGGTCTCTGGTCCCAGTGACCCCGGGAGGTGGGTGCCACCTTCCCTTCCAGTGGTGGGAGGTCTGGGGAGCTGTGATAGGGGACCCCATGGTGTTTGCTGGAATGTCGGTCCCTCGCCACCCGCCAGAGCCCCAGACGGCTGGCAGGAGCAGGCATGGGAGGTTTCCCGATTCTCTCCATCCAGGGCAGGCAGGGCTGGCCCTGTGTCCTGGGCTTGCCCGGATGGACGCGCATAGCTCGGGTGCCTCATCCAGAGAGTGGCAGGGAGCATGTGTTCTGTGAAAATTGTCGGACAGAAGAGGTGGAGTGACCCCACGAACCATCCCCTGGGAGCACCCCCGCAACTTGGTGCCTGGGCCCCCAGCTTCACGCCCAGGCCACAGGGTCTGTGTGGCCGGGAGGAGGGTGAGACAGGAGGCGGCAGCCGTGGTTTCCTTTGTGAAAATAGAGTCCCTGCTCCAGGCGGGAACAGGGCTGATGGCAGGTTACCCCTCACCAGGGCTGAGTCGTTGGGGAGCGGGGGGACTTGGGTGGGCCTCGTTAGAGGCAGACCTGTGCTTAGGAGAAGCGGGGCCTCTCCCTGGGCAGTGGCTGCTGTGTGGCCTCACCTGGGACCACGGTCACGGCCACCCCTTCCTCAGGCAGGGAGCCCCGGTGCCGAGAAGGAGGGCGGGCTGGCGGCCGGCTCCTGCACCACTGACGAGGCCCATCCTGCCTGGGGCTGCCCCGGGCCCCTGCCCCCCGCCCATCGGCCCCCTGCCGGGCCAAGGCCCTCGGTGCTCGTGGGTTCTCTACGGGCAGTTTTGTTAAGTCCAAGTGTTTTCTCATTCGGTCAAGTATCAAGGACATCTTCCTGCGTCAATAGAGATCTGTCAAACCTTCTGTAAAAGTTGAGATATAATTCACGTTCCGTACAACTCACCCTTTAAAAGTGTACCATCCAGCAGTTTTAGCCCATTCACCATGTCGTGTCACCATTACCACTCATTCCAGAACGTTCCATCACCCCAAATCGAAGCCCCAGGCCCATCAGCAGTCACCCCATCCCCTCCCCCAGCCTGACACCCACTAATCTACCTTCTCTGTTATGTCATCTCTCTTTCTAACGGCTTGATTGGGAGACGGTTCGTGTCCCGTACCTCACGTGGACAGCCTCAGCTCATTCACAGATGCGTGCAGCCGTCACCGGTCAGCTCTAGAACATTTGCATCCCCCCACAAAGAAACAGACCCTTTACCTATCAGTGCCCCCCCACCCCGTGTCCCCAGTCCCCCAGCCTGAAGCAAGCACTGCTCTGCGTCTGTGTCTGCTTCCCTGTTTCACGAGTTTTTAAAGGCAGAAGAGCAGCAGGTGGGGGCGTCTGGAGGCACGGAAATGTTGGCGAGGCTTCCCTGGGGTCCCCTCTTCCCTCTTCGTGGTCACATCTGAAGCCTGAGTCGGGCACTGCCCTGGGCACGTGGCCCGATGTTGACAGCAGCTGGCTCAGCGTAACGGGGAAAGGGGGGCCGGCCCAGTGGTTAAATCCACACGCTCCGCTTTGCCAGCCCGGGGTTCACAGTTCAGATCCCAGGCTCAGACCTACACCACTTGTCAGCCACGCTGTGGCAGCATCCCACATACCAGATGGAGGAGGGCTGGCACAGATGGTAGCTCAGGGCAAATCTTTTTCAAGCAAAAAAAGAGCAAGATCGGCTGGTGATAGATGTTAGCGCAGAGTGAATCTTCCTCACCAAAAAAAAAAAAAGGAGAAGGAATCTTTCGGAAGAGTCTGCAGTGGCCTCTCAACCCAAGCTGGTCAGGGGCTCTCCGTGCCAGGTGCCATGTCCTAATGGATGCAGCTGGACCCAGGGGGATAGTGCAAGTCCCTGCGATGACCTTGCTGGGTCAGAGGTCCCAGTGGGGACCCTTGAGCTGAGTGCCACTGGCAATGTGTCATTGCAGGAGTGCGTTTCCTCTGGTTCCACGCTGCCCTCCCCTGTCCCTCGCGTGCTGTGTGCTGGGACATCTGGAGCCGGGCTGGGGGAGGCAGGCGTGCACTTGCTCAGATTAGGGGCTTGTCCTTGAGGTTTTCAGGGGAGAGCAACAAAATCCAGCTACTTGCCAGTCTCAGGCTGTGCTGTCACTGAGGGTGACTGTCGCGTTTGTAGCACAGTTGTCCTGAGAAAGGCGCCAGGCCCATCGAGCGCCACCCGAGGGCTTTTCTCTAACAACTGGCTGGAGCTGTAATTCACATACCACACCGTCCCGCCCCCACAGTGTGCAGGTCGACTTCTCAGGACCTTCACGGTTGTGTACCCATCTCCCTAACTCCAGAACATTCCACCACCCTAGAAGGACTCTCTGCCCATCAGCATCACCCCGCGTCCTCTCTCCAACCCCGGCCCCCACGAGCCCGCTCTCTGTGGATCTGCCTGTTCTGGACGTTTCACGTCACTGGGATCATACACCGTGTGTCCTTCTGTGTCTGCGTCTCTTCCTGAGCGTCGTGTGTGCAGGTCCGTCCACGTGCAGCCGTGTCAGGGCCTCGCTCCTCTTCACGGCTGCGTCGTGCTCCAGTGTGTGGCTGGACAGGTGGCTGCACCAGCCGTCATGGGCAGTTGGCTGTTTCCCCCCTGTGCCTGTGAGGAGCCATGTTGCTGTAGACACTTGGGTCGGTTTTTGCGTGGACGTGTGTTTCCGTGTCTCGGGTAGACGCCCAAGGGGGGAGCTGCTGTTCCGTTGTTTGAACCTCTGCCAGACTTTGCACAGTGGCCGCCCCGGGTTACGTTCTGACTGTTGCTGTCGTGTCCTGGGTCCCGTGCTGCTCACTCTCGTGTGAGCCCGTTGGATGCACAGCAGCCCTGTGGGTGGGTGTCATGTCCTAGAGACGAGCAGGAGCGTGGAGCTCCACAGCCATGTCTTTCGACACCTGGTTTCGACTTTGCCGGCAGGTCCCACGTGGGCAGCTGTTTGGGGTCTTGGCTCCAAGTCTTAACAAGGCTTCACAGCCCAGCCTGCCAGGACACCCCGGTCCCCGACACTGTGACCACGAGAGGGGTTATCCTTCAAACACCTGTCTCCTTGGGTGTTTGCTCAAGAACATGGTTTCCTTCTGTTTCTGGAATGTTCTGGAAATGTCAGCCACCCTCCTTCCTGATTGGGGCCTTCATCCCTGCTCTCAGCATGGGTGTCTGCTGTGGGCCCACTCGGGAGGGCGCCTCGGCGGAGGGTGGGGTGGGCCCACACGGCCTGCCCGCCGCCGACCCCGCTCTGTCCGCAGCCCCAGCGGGAAGAAGTTCCGGAGCAAGCCGCAGCTGGCGCGCTACCTGGGCGGCTCCATGGACCTAAGCACCTTCGACTTCCGCACGGGCAAGATGCTGATGGGCAAGCTGAGCAAGAGCCGGCCGCGCGTGCGCTACGACTCGTCCAGCCAGGCCAAGGTGGGCGCCGCCCCCGGGCAGCCACGGGGGTGCTCGTCCTGCTGGGAAGGTCGCGGCTGCTCGGTGAGGGGATGCGGAGGGCAGATGAGAGGCTGCCACTGCTCTGTCCCTGACAGAGGGCCCTGCATGGGGACCAGGAAGGGCGTGGCTCTGACAGCTGACAGTCTGCACACGGCGCCCAGTGACCCTGTGACCAGCCGCCTCTGGTGGGCGTGTGTTCAGGGGACCCTGTCCCTGGGCCCGTGCTCTGCAGAGCCCAAGGTGCAGGAGGCCAGGATGGGGCAGGCGTGTCCGGAGCCCTGACTGCGGCTCCCGTGGGCAATGCGTAGGCCGGGCCCGGGCTTGGTGTCGCCTCCAGATGGGTGCCACGAGGTGGGCTGGTGATCTGGGGACATGCGGTCTGTTCCCTGGAGCCCAAGGGGACAAGTCTCCCCCGCTGACTGGGAAGCAGCCGAGGACCCGGCCCGTGCCAGCGTGCGTCTCCCCTCAGGGCAAGCCCGACCTGAACACGGCGCTCCCCGTCAGGCAGACGGCATCCATCTTCAAGCAGCCGGTGACCAAGATCACCAACCACCCCAGCAACAAGGTGAAGAGCGACCCGCAGAAGGCCGTGGAGCAGCCGCGGCAGGTGAGGTGGGACGCGGCGCGCGCGCCCTGGGCTCCCTCTGGCCGCCACGTCCCCGAGGGGTCATCCAGTCTGTCGGCTTGTCTGAAATAAGAGTGGACGTGTGCGGCTTCACGACTTGCTTCTCAAAAACCGAGGCTTACGTGTGTCGTGAATGCCCACTGGGTAGCTGCTGTGTGGCCGGCGGGGGACACACTCACGGGGCGCCCCAGGGCAAGACCCCCTTCCCTCACCAGCCCCGTGGTGACGTTTGGGTTGTTGCCACTAAGTGGCAGTTCGGAAGGTCGTGTCCGAGTGGCTCTGCGTTTGCCGTCAGCCTCGTGGGGTTCTTTCCCCGAGTCCCGGGGATCCGAGGCGGGAGCTCTTTGCGCCTCCCAGCGCTCCCGGGTCCCTGTCGGCGCAGGACGGTGCCTCTGGACGGGCCCGGGCAGGGCTTGACCCAGGCGGTGTCCCCAGGCCCCCTGGTGGGCCTCAAGCTCGGCCCTGGCTGGAACTTGCACCCCTACACCCTGACTTGAGGGTGAGGGGCTGTCCATCCTTGGGGCCGGGGGCACAGGTGGCAGGGGCGTCGGGCTCGGGGACCATCGCCATCGTGCTGACCGTGAGGCCGGCCTCCTGGGTCCTCGTCCTGCCAAAAATCAGGGTTGGCGTTTCTCCACCCTGGAGGGAGGGCCCTGGTCCCACAAAGCCTTGTTTCCTGAGGGCTCGTGAGCAGCCTGGCGGGCTGGGGTCACAGCTCCCCTGAGGCCACCGTCGGCCCGACTGCCCAGGTTGCCTGTTGTGGGGGGCCTGGCCGGCTGTCGGCCTCACGTGTGTGTCTGGCGGCAGCTCTTCTGGGAGAAGAAGCTGAGCGGTCTCAACGCCTTTGACATCGCCGAGGAGCTCGTGAAGACCATGGACCTCCCCAAGGGATTGCAAGGTGACCGGCGCCCTGGGGGCAGGAGCAGGGCCCATGGGCCGAGGGTGCGGGCTGCTGGGCTCTGCCACCGGATGAGTGACAACAGTGACTGAACCGCGGCCCAGTGGCGGCCACAGGGTCTGTGTGGGCGAGCCACCCTCCCCCCCATCCCTCGCTCCCTCTGTGGACCAGCAGGGTGGCCGCCTGACTCACCATTGGCATCAGCTGCCAGCCCCGGGCACCTGGGCCTGCACACGACCTCGTGGGTGTGGACCTGCAGGGCGAGTTTTGTGGGGGGTGGGGCGTGGGGTCCCGGGAAGACGTGGGCCGCGTACCTTTGCACTGTGAAGACAGCGCCACACCCTCCCTGAGGACGGAGCCTGTGCTGCTCTGTCTCGAGGGACCGCATGCCCACCCGGGGGTGGGGAGGAAAACCAAGGCCAGTGGAGGGATGCGGGGCCCGGGGTGACCGCCCCCCCCTGCGCCTGCAGGCGTGGGGCCCGGCTGCACAGATGAGACCCTGCTCTCGGCCATCGCCAGTGCACTGCACACCAGCACCATGCCCATCACGGGGCAGCTCTCGGCCGCCGTGGAGAAGAACCCCGGCGTGTGGCTCAACACAGCCCAGCCGCTCTGCAAGGCCTTCATGGTGACCGACGAGGACATCAGGTAGCTGCCTCCGCCCTCTCCCTGGGGGGGGGCCAGCGTGGCTGCCTGGGCTGTGAAGCCACAGTGGCCAGCGCGAGGCCCACGTTGTTAGGGGGGCTCCAGAGTCGGGGAGGTGGCACGTGGTAGGGACAGGACGTGGGGGGTGAAGCTAGACATCCCAGCGTGGATGCTAGGCCCCCAGGGGGCGGGATTAGGGGTGCTGGCCAGGAGAGGGCAGCGGCAGAGGTGAGCCGGCTGGCTCAGGGGATCCGTGGGGTGTCCCAGGATGCGGAGTCCCCGGTCTTGGCCTGGCAGGGACGTCAGACCGGAGGCCGCGGCAGAGGGCCACTCACTCGGGCTCCTGAGAGTGGCCCCAAGGTGACCGGCTGCGTGCATCTGTGTCCCTCCCTCTGGCCTCGTGGCCCGGTCTCCCTGGAGACAAGGCTGTGGCCTGAGCGGTGACCTGCGTCCCCAGGAAGCAGGAGGAGCTGGTGCAGCAGGTCCGCAAGCGGCTGGAGGAGGCGCTGATGGCCGACATGCTGGCCCACGTGGAGGAGCTGGCCCGGGACGGGGAGGCGCCACTGGACAAGGGGGGCGCCGACGAGGAGGACGACGAGGAGGAGGACGAGGAGGAGGAGGAGCCCGACCAGGACCAGGAGATGGAGCATGTCTAGAGCAGGTGCCGCTGGCAGGCGGTCCCAGACCAGCTGGCGCAGTGGCTGTGGGGCTGGAGGACGTCTGGGGTCCTGGGACCTGCCGCGCGTGGCGGTGGTGCCGGGCCAGAGCCCCATGAACCCTGCAGGACGCCCGTGGGCACTGACAGGCCCGTCCCCTTTGCCCGGAGGCCCCGCCCGCAGACTCACCCTCACCTGTTGGGACCAGGCTCGGTGGCCTCTCTTTGCCCTTCCCAGGCGTGTCCCTTCCCCGGGCTGCAGGGCAGTGGGGGCACAGCTGGAGGACGGCCCCTCGCCCTGTGCACCCCATGTTTGCTCTTCTCTAAGGGGCCTGGAGCCGACATGCCAGAGGCTCCTCGGGGTCACCCCTCCACAGACTCGGGCTGCCGTGCCCCTGACATTGCGGCCAGCCTTGTCCCTGTGGCCACCACCCCAAGCGCCTCATTCAGGACAGCTGCCGCCAGGTGGGACGATGTGGCGGGGCCAGGCCTCGTGGCAGGGGTCAGGATGGCTCCCTGGGCACCTGCCCCGCTGGGCAAAGCCGGGGCGCTCGGAGCGCAGCCGAAGGCAGATGGCACAGGTGTGTCCTTCCCTGACCGAGGTGCAGACCGGTGGATGTGGGCCCTGCCTGGCCTCCGCTGGCCGCGCAGACGGGAGCACAGGCCGCGCCTCTGGAAGCCTTGCTCCCCGCAGTTGGCCGCCCGGCCTGGGGCTCAGCTGCCAGCACCGGAGGACACTTGTGGCCAGCGTGTGCGTGGCCGGACTTTCAAGGCCGGGGCTCCAAGACAGCTCCGCATTGGCCAACCTCCGTGCCTCAGTTTCCCCCTGTTCCCAGGGACAGTGACGCCTGGCTCTCGGGGCTGCAGGCTCTCATGCTGCCCGGCCGGACCTGGCTGGGGCCACGGCTGCTCTGCCTTCCTGTCCCGGGCGTGTCTCTGGCCGAGCATTTCCCAGGGAGCAGGGGTGTCAGGATCCGGCCTGAGTGCCTTGGTGAGGGGGGTGCCCACCATCCCCACCTCGGTCCCAGGAACACCCTCGGGGGCCCCGCCGGCCCTGCCCGCATCGGCCTTAAGCCCCCAGAGGGTCCCTGGGTCAGTTGGAGGCACCGGCCCTGCCCTGCCAGCAGCCTGTGACCAGCGGGAAGGCCCCGGTGGCCGCCTCACCTGGCCGGGCGCCCTGGCTGATCCGGGGTCTGGGGGTGGTGGGAGCCCCCCTGAGCGTGGGAGGTTGCTGCCCGTCGGTGGCCCAGGATGCCGGCTGACCGCAGCCCCCCGCGTCAAGTTGAAGCACAAATCCTCAAAAATGGTAGACTCTGCAGCCGGGGGCCACCGGCCAGGCACCACGGGCCCCCAGGAAGGCCCCTCCCCTGAGGGCCAGATGTCCCACCCCTCCTGGAGGCCGGGCGGGAGGGGATGCCAGGTGGGGGCCTGGCCGGGGGTTGCGAGGTGTCCTGTGGGCAACTGAATAAAGCCATCTCTGTGCGCGCAGTTAGTGTCGAGGGCCGCCATGTCTGTGTCCTGAGTGACGGGCCCCTGTGGCGTCCTTTCCCGGGGGTGGGGAGCAGGTGGCAGGTTCCCCTGTGGCCCCAAGAAGGCCCCGGGGCAGAGGGGCAGCGCCTGGCCACCTGACCTTCAGGTCCCAGCAGTGTTCGTGTAAGAGCCAGGTGTGGAAGCTTCCAAAGATGGAGCACGTGTGGGCGCCTTTAGAGTGGGGTCCCTGAGGCCCCTTCTGAGCCCCAGGCCCCCCGCTGCCCAGAATGGGGCAGGTGGCTTGACGCCAGACCTGCCACGTTCACCCGTAAGACGAGGTGGCTGGTCCCAGGTCTGCATCAGGAGCTGCGGGAGGGGCGTCTAGGGGCCCACAGGCCCAGCACACGGGGACGCCACTGAGCCGTCCTTGGGGACTTGCTGGCCCTGTGCCCTCAGACCCTGCAGCCCCCAGGCCTGCACTGACATTGGCCACACCAGCCCCTCCTCCAGTGCCCATGTCCCGCCCCCTGGTCCAGTGGCCATCACCAGCTGCTCCCCGGATCTAAGGCTGGGCGTGGGAGAACCCCGGCCCCACTTGCCTGGCCAGCCCCTGCCCCCGTCTACAGGTGACAGTCTGTCCACCCAGGGTGAGGGTGCAGGGCGGTGCCCAGGACCCCTCCCCAGCTGCCTGGCTCCCCCAGGTCTGTCCCAGTCTCTCAGCTGATCAGGGCCTTGGTGACCTGGGCCCCATTCCTCGCCCCACAGAGGCCACGTGGGGGTCTCTGTCCTCTGCGCCCCCACCAAGTGGCCCCTCCACATGCATTCTCTTTACTCTGCAGTCAGCCCTGCCACCTACAATTGGCCGCAGCTCCCAGAGGGGAAACTGAGGCTCGGGTGAGCGACTTGCCCAGGAGCATCAGCTGGAAAGGGGTCGGGCCTGTCTGAGACCGGGGGCAGCCGGCCACGCCCTGCCTCTGGCCTCCGGAGCCCTGAGCGGCTGCTGACCTTGAATCCTTGGAAGGGAGGACGGGCTGGGGCCTGGCCCGCTGGGTGTTTGGTGTGAGGCTGAAAGGCCACCAGCCCCGCCACGGGGCCCTCCGCACCAAGCCCATCCTAACACTGAGCCGGTGCCACCTTTCCAGGCCTGAGGGTCCCTGCTGAATGCCTTCCGAGCCCCAGCAAGAGCCCCAGTGGCAGGGACTAAAGCGGAGGCCCGGGCCCTGGTCACACCTGCCGCGCGGCGGGATTTCTGAGCCAACAGCTCGAGGACGTCCGCACCTCGGACCCAAGCCACCACCGTGTCTCCCCAGCTGCCCCCTCCACACCTCCCGCCACGTGACCCTCCTGGGACACCTTCTCTCGTGCGAGTCTCCCACGGATGCTATAAAAAGTCACCATAAATTTGGCGGCTTAAAGCAACGCATGTTATCACCTCACAGTCCTGGGGTCAGGAGTCTGACAGGGTCCCACGGGGCTAAACCCAGGGGTGGCCAGGGCGGGTCCCCCCGGAGGCCCCAGGGGAGGAGCGTGTCCCGCCTCCTCCAGCTTCCAGAGGCGCTGCGTCCTGGGCTCGGGGCCCCTTCCTCCGTCCGCACGGCCAGCAGTGCAGCGTCCCCATCTCGGCCTCTGACCCTCCCGCCTCCCTCTGCTCAGGACCCTGGGATGAGCCTGGGCCCTGGGAATCCAGGGTCAACCCCATCCCAGGGGCCTCGACTTAACCCGTCTGCAGAGTCCCCTCTGCCCTGTGAGGTGACATAGCCACAGGGCCTGGGACCAGGATGGGGACATCTTTGGGAGACATTAATCGTCCAACCACGTTACCCCAGAGGTCACCTCGCCGCCGTCTGACAAGGCAGCCCGTGGCCCCGCACGGCCCTGCAGCCTCTGCCTCCACCATCTCTCCGCCACTCGCCTCCAAGCCCGTTCCAGCTCCCTGGCCCTTGTCCCCACTGTCCCCTCCAGGGGAGCGAGCAGTCGTTACAGAAGCCCTGCAGCTGGTTGAAGGTAGAATCCGCCGGGTGTGACGAGGGAGGGAGCCAGGGGCACCCGAGGCCATGACACCTGACCGGACAGGTTGGGAGCCACGGGTCAAAAGAGGCAGAGGGCCTGGCTGGCTTGAATTTCGAGAACAGTCCGGCAGGATGGCCACCAGCCACGTCCCTCAGTTGCCCCGGGCACACGGGGCTGGTGGCTGCTGAGCTGGACAGAGCAGATGGAGAAATGTCCGTCGTCTGGAAAGCTCTGCTGGACAGCACCATTCTAGAACAGGGATTCTCAGTCCTGGGGGGCGGGGGCAGACACCCCCTGGAATCAGGTAAGGCTTGTTCAACACTCAAGCAGCTCAAAAAGTGGAAACAACCTAAGTGTCCATCAACGACGGAAAAGTACAGAAAAGCATCCTCCCACACGCTGGAGCACGACGCAGCCCTGAAGAGGAGCGAGGCCCTGACACAGCCGCACGGGGGACGGACCTGAACACACCACCCTCACGGAGAGAAGCAGACACAGGAGGCCACCGTGATGTTAATTTTATGTGTCAACTTGACTGGCCTGAGGGATGCCCGGAGAGCCAGCAGAACGTGATTCCCGGGTGCGTCTGTGCAGGAGTTTCTGGACGACATTGGCATTCGATCCGGTCACTGAGGAACCAGACCTGTCCTCCCCGACACGGGCGTCACCCAACCCACCACCAATCCACCAGGGCCCGGGAGGAACAAAGGGGGGCGGTGAGGACGGGCAGTCTCTCCTCCAGAGCTGGGGTGTCCGGCCTCTCCTGCCCTCGGACCCGGGGCTCTTGGAGCTCGGGCCCGGAACTCGCACTGGATCGCACTGCGGGCCATCCTGGGCCTCCAGCGGGCGCAGATCGGGGGACTTCCCGGCCCCACAACCACACGAGCCGACGCCCATAAGGTCTCCCCTCGTCCGTGTCTCCACATGTCCTGTTGGTTCTGTGTCTCCGGAGAAGCCCATGGAGACGGCCACACGGCGTCCCGTCCCGTCTCCATGAAACGTCAGGGACAGACAACTCCACAGACAGAGCGCGGAGCAGCGGGGCTGGGGCGTGGGGGCGGTGGTGAGGGCTCAAGGGGACAGGGCTTTTTTGGCTGATGATAATGTTCTCAAATTGCGAGAGATGATGGCACAACTCTCGAATTTGCTAAAAACCACTGAACTGTGTACTTTCAAAGGGTGAAATCTGATGCATGTGGATTGTGGCTCCATTTAGAAATAAAAAGGGGCCGGCCCGGTGGCGGAGCGGTTAAGTTCACTAGCTCTGCTTCGGCAGCCCGGGGTTTTGCCAGTTTGGATCCCAGGCATGGACCTACACACCGCTTGGCAAGCCATGCTGTGGCAGGCGTCCCACATATAGAGTAGAGGAAGATGGGCACAGATGTGAGCTCAGGGCCAGTCTTCCTCAGCAAAAAGAGGATTGGCGGCAGATGTTAGCTCAGGGCTAATCTTCCTCAAAAAAAAAAAAAAAAAGGTTTCAGGGGCTCAGGGACCCTGGAGTCTGTGCACAGATCCTGCCCTGAGGGAGACAGAGGGTCCCTGGGTGGCCTGACAGGTCATCCCTAGACCCAGGCAGCTCTAGCTGGGGGTCCGGTCCCCAACGCTGTCTTTCCCTCACATCAAGGATTGCCTCATTTAGATTTCAAATATTTGCAAGAAGCAAGGAGACGGTAAAGCAGACCCCAGGCGCCCGCCCACCAGCCCCCCCACCAACCCGCCACCTGACTCCCCCCCACGCCCGCCAGATCCCCACCCACCCACCCACTTTCATCCACAGACATTTCCAAACGGATGTCTCAAAGGACATTTTTTACAGACCTGAACATATACTTTTATTACAGAAGGTCTCCAAATGCACCAGAGAAGTGAAGCCTGTGTGCCAACACCTGCCCCGCGAACAACGCTCGTGGCCCTGTCACCCCCAGACCCCCCTCCCCCCGGCTCCGTGTTATTTCATTCCAACGTCCTACGAGAATTTTCAGACACAGAGCTGAGTGGGAAGAATTCTGCAGTGACCCACTCCAGATGGGCGGGCAGGGGTCAGCAGTTCTCGGCCACAGGGGACAGGTGCGAATATGTTTCTGGTCGTCATGCCTGGGGAGGTGTCGCGGGTTGCTCTGTGTCCCCAAAAAGATAGGTCCCCATCCCAATCCCTAAACCTGTGACTGCGACCTTATTTGGAATTGGGGCCTCTGCAGATGAAACTAGTTAAGCTGAGGTCATCCTGGAGTAGAGTGGCCCTACTTCCGATGGCCTGTGTCCTTACAAGAAGGGGGGAATCTGGGCAAAGACGCACCGGGAGGCGGCGATGTGAAGATACGACAGAGACCAGAGGGAGGCGGCCATGTGAAGATACGACAGAGACCAGAGGGAGGCGGCCGCAAACCAAGGATTGCAGGCCGCCCCCAGAAGCTTGCAGAGGCAGGAAGGACCCTCAGCGCAGCCCTGCGACCCCTTGACTTCAGACTTGTAGGCTCTAGAACTGGGAGAGAATAAATCAGTGTTGCTTTAAGCTGCCCAGTTTGTGGTCATTGTTAAGACACAGAAAATCAGTACCGGGTGGGTGGGGTAGGTGGCTCCTGGCACCGAGCAGGTGGGGCCAGGGATGCTGCTCAACCCCCCACAGCGCCCAGGACAGACCCCCCACCAGAGAATGACCCGGCCCTGATGTCAGCAGTGCCGAGGGGGAAAGACCTGGTCTGGGGCTGACCACTGACATTTCTCTTGGGTTTCATCCACGTCTGTCCATCTGTCCACCTTTCTGTCCATCCCTCACCACATCTTATTTCCGGTGCATTTCAAAGCACACCGCCGACATCGTTGTCTGCCTCCTAAGCACCTCAGCGTGCAAAGCACTCAAAGGTCAGCAGTTCACAGTTCTGAAAGGACTTTCAAACCACGTCACCACAGGGCCATTATCCACAAATTCATGCCAACACCAGACAGGCCTGTGTTCACACATCCCGACTGTGTGCCGACATCAAGACTCAGGGTCCCTCTTCCCTCTTTTCTCTCTTCACTCCTCATCCATTTCTTGCCAAACAGCATCCTTTATGAATCAGCTGTCATCTTTGCTCCTGATGGCCGAACGATTCCCTCCCCCCACCATGGTGCTTCACCGCAAACCCCTCGGATGATCCCCCAGCCCCCCTTTCCTTCCATCACCTTCCTATGGCACCCCGTTTCTCCCTTTACTTACTCCCTCGTTTTGCTGGAGTCCATCCTGCAGTATGCTAAGCTAATCTGTGATGACCCCGCTGGCCTCAAATGTCCCGATTCCTCCTTCCGCTTCATGGAGACCTCGGGGTCAGCCATCACTTTCTCCTTCCTGATCCCGTGGAACATGACCTGGAAGCATTTATGGGACCCAGGACCCCTGACGTGTGTGTTCCCAGGACAGACTGTGGGGCTCTAGCTATTGGAGACGCTGATCCCACAGTCCCCTTCCATTATTTCTTGGACAACATCCCTCCATTTCCCCCATCCTCTATGGAACTCTCGATCGCTCCTGTTTTCTGTCCTCTTCCTGTTTCCACCTGTCTTTCCAGGAGATTTCTCCGACTTGAATCTTCCAACCTCCTGCTGAAGTTTCCGTTCCAGCTCCTGTGTTATCCACTACCAAGCCCTCTCTTGTTCTCTCTCATCCTTTTCCGGCTTCCTGTCGGCTGGAGGCTGTGCCACGCACGAGCAGGACCCATGTGTCCCCCAGCCTGTGCCCCGGTGTCTCCGGGTGGCAGCCGTGAGCTGGGGTGGGAGCAGTTCCCTCCGGGTCCCTGCATTTCAGCGTCTCCCTCATCATCAGACGCTGCCTCCCCACCCCCACCCCCCAAGTCCCCCAGAGGGAGTGAGGTGTGAGTGGGGCCCAGGAGGGGACACTGGAAAGCAGAAAGGCCGACAGGGCAGGGAAGGGCACCCCGGAGAACAAGTGTCTGAGCCCAGGACACAGCTGCCCAGTGCCCGGCTTGTCTGAAGACCTCTCCACGGGACCGGGGGTCAGGAGTGCTTTAAGGAACATACGTGTGCGTGCACGACCCCCACAGAGGTACATCCCAGGGCAGGCGGCTCTCCGGGCCTGTTCCCTACTGTCACCACCAAAGGCCCAATATTAGTCTCCCTTCCCTTGGCTCAAACACCCCGTCCTCCGTTCCTGATGTCCTCCCACCCCACCTGAGCCGCTTTCTTGGCACTGATCCCCTGCATCCTTTTGTTTCGAGTGCCATAGGGCAGCCCCACCTGATTCTACCCGGGGTGGGGCCCCAGGAAGGGGGACAAGCATGTGCCAAGGCGTGGCCCTGAGGAAGGGCAGCCACAGTGAGCGCTCCCAGGGGGTGCGAGGGGGACTTGAGGCCACCCAGGTGGGCCAGGGCAGGTCACGCTGGACCCAGGGCACCAACTACAGCCAGTGGACATTTCTGTGGGGGGAGATGGGGACAAGGCCTGTGACTGAAACACAGTGGGGGGGGGGATGCCAATCACACACCGAGTGCTGAGCAGACCCAAAGTAATTACTACTTCTGAGCATTTGAATGCGCAGAAGAGACGTCCTGGATCCCAAGAGAGGAATTTGGGCTGGACGCGACCTGGGGGTCAAGAGAGACACTATAGGGTGGGGAAGGGTTCCAGGCACAGGGACCAAGGCTGGCAACGAGGGGTTTAACGGGGGGGGGGGGGGGGGGGGGCACCTGTTGGGAGAAGTACTGAACGGGAAGGACAGTCCAGCCGTGGACGGCTGTGGCTGAGGAACCACATGGGAGGACCAGGTCGAGCGAGACTGGCCGTGGACATGGATGGGTGAGGGGGGCAGTTCTGGACAGAAGGAGCAGGGCGCCCCTCTCCCACCTAGAGAGCCCATGTGGGTGGCCTGAGGTCCCATGGCCAAGCAGGGACCTGGACCCGGGTGCCTTCCGAGCAGGGTCCATCCTGCTCCCAGCCCGTTTATCATGGGAAATCCCAAAGGGTAAAGCGGAGGCGGGGGTCGGCTTCCCCCTCAAAAGAAAAGAAGGCCCCAAAGGGCAGCTGGAAGGGCCGGTCGGACAGGGTGGCCTGGAGGTGGGCACACGGGGCTGCTCCGGGGGCCTGCAGGGCAGGGTGCCAGGCGCCCCATGAGACGGAGGGTCGGTGGAAAGCAGCCCAAGCCGGGAAGCACCACCCACGTGGCGCCGTCTCGGGCTCCAGGCACACGAGGGTGCTGGGGGCTGTGGGCGCCCGTGACCTCCCCAGCGAGCCCACGAGACCAAGCGCCTGCGGGGAAAGGGGGCGGGAGTCCGAAGGCCGGGCGGGCCGCGAGGAGCCTTGGGGCAAGGGACCCGGGGGCGGAGAGGGGGGCGCGCGCCCGGGCGCACCGAGGGGCCCCTGCGCGGGGACCCCGGGCACTCTCGGGCCCCGGCGCCCCGCGGCCACCTACCTGCGGCCGCGCCGCACGTGCGAGCGCGCCGGGTCCCCGCCCGGGCGCCTGCGGCGGGGGTGGCCCGCGCCCACGTGACCGCGCCCCGCCCCGCGCGTGCGCCCTGCCCGGCGCCCCATTGTTGGCCGGGCGCGCGTCACGGGGGCGGGGCCGGGGCGGGGCGGCCGGAGGGAGGCGGCGGGAGGGCGGGAGGGAAGGAGCGTCCGCGCCGCCGCCGCCGCCGCCGCCGCCGCCGCCGCCGCCGCCGCCGAGGAGCAAGCAGAGCCGCGCCGCCCGCCCGCGCCCCCAGCAGCCCCGCGCCGCCCGCCCGCCCCGCCGCGCCCCCCGCCCCGCCGCTGGATGCCGGCGGCCGGCGGCCCAGCTCTCAGAGGCGGAGGGCGGCGGCGCGGGCGGCGGCGGCGGCGCGGGCGGCCGGCGGCCGAGAGGCAGGAGCGCGGGCCCGCGCGCTAGCGCCGCCATGCCCAGCTCCCTGGGCCAGCCCGACGGCGGCGGGGGCGCGGGCGGCGGCGGGCCGGGGGCGGCGTCCGGCGGGGACCCCAGCCCGGGCCCCCGCCGCCGCCGCCGCCGCCCCGCCCCCCGAGGGCGCCGAGGAGGCCGCGCCCGCGCCCCGCCGCCGCCCGAGCCCGACGACGCGGCCGCCGCGCTGCGCCTGGCGCTGGACCAGCTCTCGGCGCTGGGGCTGGGGGGCGCGGGCGGCCCGGACGAGGAGGGGGCGTCCGCGGGCGGCGGGACGGCGCGGCGGCGGCGGCCGGGGCGCGGACGGCGGGGCGACGGCGGAGCCCGCGCCCCCCGACGGGACCGAGGCGGGCGCGCCGTGGTGGCCGTGGCCCCCGGCCCGCTGCCGCTGCTGGAGCCCGACGTGAGCCCCCCGCCGCCGCCGCCGCCGCCCCGGCCTTCGCCGCCCGACGTGTTCGCGGGCTTCGCGCCCCACCCCGCGGCCCTGGGCCCCCCGACGCTGCTGGCCGAGCAGATGAGCGTGATCGGCAGCCGCAAGAAGAGCGTGAACATGACCGAGTGCGTGCCGGTGCCCAGCTCCGAGCACGTCGCCGAGATCGTGGGTCGCCAGGGTGAGTGGTCGCCGTCGGGGGGCGCCGCCCCCGGGGGTCCCCGCGCCGCTCGCCCCGGGGAGGGGGCCGCCGGCCCAGCGCAGCCCGCGGCCGGACGCCAGACCCCGGCCACGCCCCGCGTGGGCTCCGGCCTCGGTGGCCGCCTGGGCGCCTTTGTCCTGCCGCCGGCCGCGGGAGAAAGTTGGGCGCAGCCTGCGCTCCACCCCTTTGCGCTCCGGCTCCGCCGCTGCCTTTGTCTGGGCGCCTCCATCGCGGAAAGGCCCCTGTGTGCGGCGCCGCTGCCCAGGCCGTGGGTCGCCAGCCCTGGCATCCCGGGGACCAGGGGGCAGGGCCGGCCTGGGTGGTGGCCGCTCTGCACCCAAAACAGGCATGGGGTGGGGCTCGCTGGGGTTTGGGGGTGACCTGGGGCGCGGGGTCAGGGCAGGGTCAGGAGAGAAGTTTGGCGGCACAAAGAGGGTACATCTCGACTTGTCAGCCGCGGGGGGCCTTACTGGAGGTGGGGCCAGGAGTGCAGAAGAGAGAATCCCCACCCGGCTCTCAGCCCCAAGTCAGGGTTTCGGGGGCGTGGGTAAGGACCAGCTGTAAAAGCCGCTGCTGGGGTCCCACCCCACAGCCCTCCCCTGGCAGGCTGGCGGGCATCTGGCCCAGGGTGTGGGGTCCCGGCAGCGGCCTTGCTGGAGCGTCCCTGTGGCCGCCCCATTGTTCTCTTTGTTAGAGAGTCAGGCTGAGATTTGCAGGGTGACATCAGGCCGGCCGCCGCTCATTGGCCCTGGAGCTGCGGGGCGGGTGGGCGGGCAGTGGTGGGCAGTGCCCGGCCCAGCACACACCCACCCACCCTGTTCGCCGCCTGCCCACCGGCCTCAACTTTCTACTGCTTTCCTGACCCGGCCTCCCCCTCCCGGCTCCCAGCTCCCTGCTGGTCAGCCAGGTTCTAGAACTTGGGGCGGGGCCGGGGCGGGGCTTGAGGTGGGGCGGCTGGATGCTCAGGCTGGGGGTCCCAGCTCTGGATCCCAGGTAACAGGAGCCAGCGGAGGGTGCGAGGGATTTGAATTGGAAGGTGACCTGTCACCGTCACCGCGGCAGGCGAGGACCTCCACGGGGAGGAGAGTCAGGATGCCCTGGACCCGCCCTCTGCTGGTTCAGTTGGGTGGGGCCGTTTGGCTAGCAAGCCCCCGGGCTGTGGGTGCAGGGGCCTTCAGTCCTTCACCTGTCCTCCCCACGTGGGGACACAGGAGGGCCAGGCAGAGTGTGGGCCGTGGGACTGGCCAGCAGGAGTGGGAGCCGGGATGGGGGCAGGTGGTTTTCTGAGCCATGCTGGCCACCTCCACGGGCAGGCACAGTGGGGCCCCGGCCGGACAGATCCCCCTTCGCCACCTTGTTGCCACTTAACTATCTAGGACGCCCCCTTCCCGCTCTGTCCCCCATAACTGCAGTGGGACACCTAACAAGAAGGCTGCTCTGTGCCAAGAGTCTAGAAGCTTGCAGGGGTCAGGCGTGGAAACCGAGGCCTGGGGACAGTGGCCCAAAGCCACTGGGGTCATCTGTTGGATGGTTTAGCATGAGTATGTGTCTTGGCACCTGGGGGTCCTTCCAGAGAGACCAGGGCCACACAGATGGTGGTGGGAGTCGGGCAGGGGACATCGGAACCTGCGGCCTTGGGCTGGGCAGTTTGGGGGTCAAGAGGGGACCTGGGGCGTCAGGCTCCACCCCGACCTGCCGGTGGGCATTTGGCACCATTTCCGGGGGCTAGTCTGGGTTCTTGCTGGTGGCGCGCACGCAGCAAGGCAGGCTCTGGGGCTCACCCTGCAGACTGGTGGCCCCGTGACCCGGGACAAATGAGAGCCCCTCTCTGTGATGGGGGCAGCACCTCTCTGGGGCTGTTGGGGGGACGCTCCAGCAAGATGTGGGTTCTGATCTCAGCCTCAGGCCTGCCCACCAAAGCCACCCCATAAGTGGGTGCAGGGTGTACCAGGAAGGGGACATGAGTATCAGGACAGGTTGGCATCTCCCCAGTTCTAGAACCATCTGTGGCTCCCATCTTCTCCCACCCGGTTCGAGCACACCTTGGACGACTCTTGTGCCCCAGCCCTGCCCCCCTTCTTCCTGTCACCCACCCCACTCTCCACACCGTGGGTCCCTGCTGACTGCTCAGCTCTTCCTCTGCAGGGGGTGTGGCCCGCCCAAGCCCCTCATCCTTTCTGTCAACCCAGTTCCAGGCCCGCCCCCAGAGGGCAGGAGGGGCTCACTCGCTCGGCCCCCTCCCTTCCCCGGCCAGACCAGAGTCACACAGACCTGGGGTCGGCCCTTCCCCTGACACCCCCTGGCTGTCTCTGTGTCTCAGTTTTCTCAGTCCTAGAATGGGTCCATGCCCCTTGTGGGCACAGGGTGAGCGTGTGCAGCCCCCGAGAGCTCCCAGGTGCCCTGCTCTGGAGCCTCAACCTGCCCAGCCCGAGACCCCCACCCCCCTCCCAGCCCTGAGAAGGTCCTGGACTCCCGGTCACAGCCGGGAAGATGAGGCCACGGGAGGCAGAGCTCTGCTGAAGCCAAGCGTCCGGGCTGGGATTTGAACCTGAGTCTCGTTGGCTCTGCCGGCGCCATGGGGACATAGGAGGGCTGGGAAGCCCGTCCCCTCGTCCAAAACCCTGTTTTACAGGCAGGAAAAGTGGGGCCTCGGAAAGGATGAGGGGTGGGCAGCTCTCTCCAGCCGGCCGGCCAAGGTCATCTGGGGGCCGCTGCGTACTTGCTGTGGGGGTGACCCTCCCGTGCCTCCCTTGCTGGCCGGGGCCATGTCGTGTCTGTGGCTGGGGTGGGCTCCTCAGGCAGGTCCTGGGCACCGTGCACAGTAGGTCTTCACTCAGGGACCAGTGAATGGATGGTGCTTCAGGTGGGGCTCAGACTGGCGGCCACATGCGGTCCCCTCCATCTCTGCCGTCGTCAGGCCGAGGTTAGGACGCTGGCCTCGTGCTCTCCTCCCTCGGCGGGGGCGGCCTCCTTGCTTGCAGCTCACTCCCCTCCCCTGTGCCCGGCTCCATGCCTTGTGTTTCCCTCTGTCCAGTGTGGGGTGTAGAAAGAAAAGGATTCCCGGGCCGGGATTGGGGGCTCCTTGTGTTGGCAGTGAGAACGTGCCTTGCCTGTGGGTGGGCGTTTCCGTGTCCCTGTTTCCCGGAGGAGCCTGAGATCTGGCCCAGCCAGGGCTGCGCCCCACTTTGGCCCAGTGGGGACAGCACCCCGTTGGGTGGGGGCCCAGTGTGGCACCTTGTCCCGGCCCGGCCTGTTTCTGGAACTCTGCCCCGCTGTTCCCTGGGTGGGAGCACTCCCCCGCCCACGTCCTCCTTCCCGGGGCAGCCCCTCGGCTTCCCTCCCGGCCTCAAGGTTTCGTTCCTAAGTGTCGCCCGTGGTCATCTGCTTGGGCTCCCTGGGGGCTGGGCCCATGCGGCCTGGTTTCCTGAGTGCCCAGTGCACGGATGGCCAGGACTCCAGGATGGGACTCATGAGTGATGGGAGGTGAAAGGCTGCCCTTGTCTCAGCTTCGCGTGGAGGCCCTCGGCCTGGCCCGTTTGATGGGGGTGGGGTGCAGCCGCAGGGGGTTTCCCCCCATGCCCAGGCCCGCCAGGCTCCCTGAGTCGGAATCCTGGGGCAGGGCCCAGGAATCTGCATTTCAGCTTGTGCCCACCCATTGGTAGTAGACCCCAGGGTCCCCCCACTTGTCACCACCCACTCTAGCCTCGCTGTGTCATCCCCACTGGGGCAGGGGTGTGGCCAGAGTCACTCCTGGAGCCCCAGTTTCCTGGACTGTATAGTCCCACCTCCACCAGCTCGGCCATCTCTTGGGGGCTTGGTGTTGGTGGGGTTTGGGGCTCAACCAGTGTCACAGCTGAAGTGCAGAGGGCCAGTGGACCCCTATCTGGGGGTTGCTTCCCCCACCCCACCTTGGCGAACTCCTTGCCCTTTCTCCGGGCCTTGCTTCCCTCTCCTCATCTAGGCTCTGCCGGAGGAAAGGTTCCCGGTGAGGTTGTCGCCTCCTCATCGGCTGCCCTGAAGACCCACGAGCGCCTGCCTCAGGCCACTGGCCGGTCCGCAGTCCATTGGGGTCTGCCCCCAAACCTGTGAGCCAGGTCTGTTTCTGCCTTCCTTGAGCAGACTGAGGCATAGGAAGTTTCCTCAAGTGCCCCAGGCAATCCCCAGAGCACCGGCCCTTGCAGCACAGTCCCCGGTCTCGGTGTGGTGTGAGGAGAAACTCTGAATGTGTGTGCTGGGGTCCAGCCCGGTGTAGTCAGTGTGTGCTTCCTGGAGGAGGGGGCACCAGGCTGCAATTTAATACAGAGGAAGGGAGAAGATAGGGGTGGGGGGTGGTGAAGAGAACGTTACAGGTGGGAAAGGTCACGTGTGTGGACAGTGGGGGGGGTAGCTGCAGGAGGGGGCAGGGAGATGTGTGTGATTTGAGAGCCACGCCCTCCAGCTGCTCAGTGGGGAGGTGACCCTCCTTGCAAGAGTGGAGGCCAGGCTAGCCACGTGGCGGCTGCAGTGCTGGGGGGGGACCAGGACCAGGCTGGGTTTGGGGGCTGCCAGTAAGAGGGGGCTGGGCGTGGAGGAGAGGCGGCACCCAGCAGGTGAGGCCGGAGATGGGAGGACAGCCGTCCCTCCCCGCCCTCCCTCCCTCTGGTTCCAGGGCTGCTGCCCTCCTTGGGCTGGACTGGGGTGGGGCTGCCCCCAGGACACTCTCTGCCACCTCCCGTGTCCCCCGCCCAGTTCCCCGGTGTGGAGCAGCCCCCGGCCCAGCCTCTAGCTCTTGGACGGTCCCAACTTTGTATCGTGCGCTGCCCGCAGGTTAGCAACAATGTTGCTGCTCTCAAGGCCGCTTTCTGTTTGTGTTGAAACAATATCCTGGGCCTCCAGCCTCCCCAGAGCCCAGAGAGGGTTCTCCCAGACTCCCATGCCCAGACTCAGGCAGCCTCAAAAGACCCGGAGCAGGGTGGTATCAGGGACCCCGGCAGGCCTAGATGTCACAGGGGTGGCTGCTGTTTTTAGAGACCCCGCAGCAGTTCCTGCGCCCCCTAGGCACTGGGTGAAGTGCCCCGTGCCTGCAGCATTGATTCCCCCCTACCCCCATGCTCACTCCCGTCCCCTCCAAGGGGTGGCCCCAGCCGGCAATAACGAAGCCACAGTGCTGTGTCCCCAAGTGTCCCCTCTCAGGCCAGGACCACGGGGGGGCCTTTGGAGGTGTCCTAACGGGGCCTGGGAGTCTGCTGTCGAGGAGGGCGGGGTCCACTCGGTCAGAAGATCAGAGGCAGTTTTGTAACCTGAGCCTGTTTCCCCACCTGTCACTGGGGGTGGGGGGTGGTGTCCCAGGGCTGACGCAGTGACCTGGACGGATTGGGACAGTAGGGCGGCGTTCTCAGTTCTGGAGGATGGACAGCCCACATCAAGGTGTCCGCAGGGCTGCTCTCCTCCGACGCTCGAGGGGACAGGCTGTGCCGTGCCCGTCCCGGCTCCTGGCGGCTGCCAACCGTCCTTGCGTCCCTTGGCTTGGAGCCGTAGCACTCCACTTGGTGCCTCCGCTTTCGTGTGGTCTCTCCTCTGTGTCTGTGTGTCCCTCTTATAAGGACACGAGTCACTGGATTCAGGGCCACCCTGCTGCAATGTGACTTCATCTTAACCATCATATCTGCAAAGACCCTATTTCTAAATAAGGTCCCATTCTGACGTTCCAGGTGGATGTGAATTTGGAGGGACGATATTTGACCCACAACACGGTCCTCCCTGCCTTTTTGCCCCCAGCTCCTGGATCAGAGGGGAAACTGAGGCCCCAGGAGGGAGGGAGGGCCGTGGTGTGGCTGAGGATAAAGCCCACAGGGTCACCGCCCGGGGAGGTGGGGGCTCCCGGCCCTGGGCGCTGGCTGCCCAGGAGGGATGTCCTGGGGAGGGGTCCCCGCCCTCACCGTGTCTGCCCCCCACCCCCACCCCAGGGTGCAAGATCAAGGCTCTGCGTGCCAAGACGAACACGTACATCAAGACGCCAGTGCGCGGGGAGGAGCCGGTCTTCATCGTGACGGGCCGCAAGGAGGACGTGGAGATGGCCAAGCGCGAGATCCTCTCGGCCGCCGAGCACTTCTCCGTGATCCGCGCCACGCGCAGCAAGGCCGGCGGGCTGCCCGGCACGGCGCAGGGCCCGCCCAACCTGCCGGGACAGACCACCATCCAGGTGCGTGTGCCCTACCGCGTGGTGGGGCTGGTGGTGGGGCCCAAGGGCGCCACCATCAAGCGCATCCAGCAGCGGACGCACACGTACATCGTGACGCCCGGGCGCGACAAGGAGCCGGTGTTCGCCGTGACGGGCATGCCCGAGAACGTGGACCGCGCGCGCGAGGAGATCGAGGCGCACATCACGCTGCGCACGGGCGCCTTCACCGACGCCAGCCCCGACAGCGACTTCCACGCCAACGGCACCGACGTCTGCCTGGACTTGCTCGGGGCGGCCGCCGGCCTCTGGGCCAAAGCCCCCAACCCGGGCCGGCGGCCCCCCGCGCCCACGGGCAGCCTCCGCGGGGACAGTACCCTGGGCGCCCCGGGGGGCCCCGAGGCTTTCTACGCGGGCGGCCGCGGGGGGCCTCCGGTGCCGGATGCGGGCCCCACCAGCCCCTACGGCGGCTCCGGCAACGGGGGCTTCTCCTTTGGCGGGGATGGCCCAGGGGCCCCCACGGGGCCACCTGCCCCCGAGGACTGCGACTTCGGCTTCGACTTCCTGGCGCTGGACCTGACCGTGCCCACCGCCGCCACCATCTGGGCCCCCTTTGAGCGGGCCGCGCCCCTGCCGGCCTTCAGCGGCTGCTCGGCCGTCAACGGGGCCCCCGCGCCGCCCGCCCCGGGCGCCCGGCGCAGCAGCGGGGCCGGCACCCCGCGACACTCGCCCACCCTGCCCGAGCCCGGCGGCCTGGGCCTGGAGCTCCCGCTGACCCGCCGCGCCGCCCCGGACCCGGTGGGCGCCCTGCCTTGGCGACCCCCGCAGGGCGCGCTGTCATCCTTCTCCAGCGGCTCCAGCTTCTCCGCGGCCACCTCGCTGCCCAGCAGCTCCGCGGCCGCCGCCTGCGCCCCCCTGGACTCAAGCGCCTCCGAAAGCAGCCGCAAGCCCTCGGCGGCCCTGTCCGCCGCCCCCGCCCCGGCCGCCCCGGGGACCCCGGCCCTGGCGCGCGAGTGCGTGGTGTGCGCCGAGGGCGAGGTGATGGCCGCGCTGGTGCCCTGCGGCCACAACCTCTTCTGCATGGACTGCGCCGTCCGCATCTGCGGCAAGAGCGAGCCGGAGTGTCCCGCCTGTCGCACGCCTGCCACCCAGGCCATTCATATCTTTTCCTAGCGGGTCCCTGGGGCTACCCCCGGGGCTGTCCGCGGGTGGTGCATGCGCGCGCGTGCGCTCTCCCGGCGCGGCCAGGGGGTCCGGGAGGGCAGGGGGCGCGGGGCGCGTGGCCAGTGTTTACAGACGAGCTTTAACTCCGGTCCCAGGCGTGGAGACGGCGGCCCAGCGACACCTCAGTTCTTAAAAAATAGCAGTATTGAGTCGACAGCTTAAAATAAACCGGAGACAAATGGTCTGTTTGCACTTTTTATTTAAGACACCCCCCTCCGGGGTGATCTTTTTAAGAAAAAAAGAAAACCACGATTTTTACAACTCTCGGTTGTCCTTTTGTACGTATGTAGCCCGATTCTGATGTGACTGGGTTTCCGCGCGGTCACGGCCCCTGTAGGAACCCCCTGGGGGGAGGGGGTGACACTTTTACTCCCTTTTCGGGGCTGACAGGTTCCCCCTTTTGTAACGTCAGCCGCGCGGGCCGGACGGGGGTGGGGGGGTCGAGGGGCATCCCAACCAGAAATTTCTAACTTTTTTTTTTTTTAATTATTAATCCCTTCTGCTGTGGTTTCTGTTGTCAGTTTTTAAATTTTTTTAAATTGGTTTTTTTTTTAAACTTTTACTTTTTACCTCTTGTGTATATGTAGGGAATTTTTAGGGAAATATGTACTTTATGGAATAAATTTTAAGAACTAAAATATATTTTATTTTAAATAAATAAGGGACCTTTAAACTTACACAGCTAAATTACTGATTATATATTTGCTGAGCTGACTTAAGGGTTCAGAAATTGTATCAAGAGTTTTATTTTTTGAATTCAAAGCCTTCTTAATAAAGTCTTTTTACTACACGTGAGCCCATGGCGTGGTGTGGGGCTGGCGGGCATGGGGGAGGGGCTGGGGTGGGGGAGGGGGCCTCAGACCCAGCTCCTCACCCCAAATCTTCCAGACAAAGGACTTAGGGCTCAGGATGCCCTGGGGCCCTGGCCCAGGCTGTTTGGAAAGTCAGGCAGTGTGTCCTGTTCCGGACGAGGGCACCGGGTCTGGGCAGGGGGTGGGGAGTGGTCCAGCCAGGCTCCCCTCTCCTGGGGCTCGGGTCCCCAACATCCCTGGGGGTCCAGCCATGGCCAAACGAGGGTTGGTGCCAGCCCATCCTAGGGTGTCTGCCCAGCTCTGTGGTTGTGTTGGCCCCGCAACCCCTGCAGGATGGGGTCCACCTGCCATGGTGCAGCTGGGGAAACTGAGGTCACGGAGTCCCCCCTCCAGGGACGGGCCTTGGTGCCCCTCAGCCCCTGAGGGATGGCAGCGTGAGGAGTCGGGCTTCCTCTCCCACTCACGCCAGGTCTAGCTGGGAGCTGAGGACCTTGGCCTGTGAGGCCACCAGCTGGGTCTTCAGGGCTGGGGCTCCCCGGGAGGCGAGGACTGAGGGACGGTGATTTGGACCTTCAGCCATCAGCAGATGCCACCAAAGTTCTGAAGGAGGGGGAGGCAGCTGAGGAGTGCATGAAGGGTGGGGTGTGGGGCATGGGACCTGGTGACAGGGAGGGGCCCTGGAGTGTGCCAAGGACAAACCTGGGGGTCAGGTGCCCACAGGCTGTCGGCTTGAGGAGTGGGCTATGAGGAGGGGTCTGTGTGATGGAGCCCGCTGGGAAAGCTAGGAAGTCTTGGTGGAGCATCCTGGTGGGCTTCCTGGAGGAAGAGAGGGGCTCAGGACGACAGGTCAGGTAGGGCAATAGGAGGCGACGGAGAGGCAGCAGCCACAGATGGACTGGGCACCCCACGGACAGCCCCCCCCCGGGGGGAGTGGCATCTGCATCAGACCCTCCAGCTGAGAGGGGCAATGTCTGGACTGCGGGGCTCAGGGCTGGTCTCCCTGCCTGGACGTTCCCATCTGCAACATGGGGATGCCCCTAGAGCCACACTCCTGGCTCTGGGGACCATCTGGGGAGTGTAGTGGGTTGAACAGTGGCCCCCAAAAGATCCGTGCCCTGGAACCTGTGAATGGTGCTTTACTTGGAAAAAATCTTTGCAAATATAGTGAAGGACCTTGAGATGAGGTCATCCTGAGTTAGGGTGGGTCCTAAATCTAATGATGAGAGTCCTTCTAAGAGACGCACAAAGGGAGATTTGAGACTCGGAGACAGAGGAGAGGCCGTGGGACACTGGCAGAGACTGGAAGGACGTGACCACAAGCCCGGGGACCCTTGGAGCTCCCAGAAGCTGGGAGAGGCAGGAAGGACCCTTCCCTGGAGCCTCGGGAGGGAGCGGCCCCGCCACGCCCCGGTTTTGGACTCCAGATGGTGAGAGAACAAGTTCCTATTGTTTTCAGTCACCCGCTTTGTGGGGATCCATTTTGGCCGCCCCAGGAGACCAGTACGGTGGGTGGACAATGCTGGACGTGGCTGCGGTGGCCCCAGGTGACCCGGGTGAGGTCGGGCTGCAGAAGGTAGTGGAGGTGGCAGGGAGGTGAGGGTATGGAGACCACGCCCCTGCAGTTTGGGGGCAAAGAGAGAGAGAAGGGGCAGTCCCGACGAGGGGTCGAGGGGGCTGGGAGTGAGTCTTGGGGAAGGAAGAGGGGCTGGAGCCCGAGTGACGGTCCCAAGGGGAGTGGGCACAGTGGGGGTTTGGTCTGGGACCTGCAAGCAGTTGAGAGGTGTCATGGGGCGGCTTTGCCTCTGGGGAGCCGTGGGCTGAGTCGGCTTGTCAGTTTGCTGCTGTAAATTGGGGAGAAGAGAGGCACCTCAAAACTGTCGGGGACGCCCAGGAGCTTGGTGGGGGCTGCAGAGGGGTGAGGCAGCTGAATGACCAGCCAGGGGAAGGTCAAGCCCCGGGCTAGGGACCAAATCCAGACTGGCCAGAGCCCTCTCCAGGGGTTTCTAAAAGATGCAATGGTAAATGAGGGTGACGCCTCCCAACCGGGAGACAGGGCTGTCAACCATGCAGCTCTGAGGACATGCTGTCCCAGGACTTTCCAGAAATGTCTGAAGGGTGTGCTTGCTCCCCACTCGGGGGGTTGCAAAGATGAGGAGTGGGAGCTCAGAGTTTCTGCAGCCATCAGGGAGAGCCGAGGGATGGCCAGAGGTGGATTCCTGAGCTTGCTGCTTGAGGCCCTGGATCCAGCCGTGCCTGAAGGCAGCCCATCCCAACCTCTCGATTATGAGCACTAATAAACTCTCCTTTGTTTCAGCCACTGTGAGCTGGAGTAACTCAAACTCAACCGCCCACAGGGACCACATTCCTGGCCAGGGAGCTGGGAAGTGTTTCCTGGGGGGAGGGGCAGAAAAGCAAAGCACGTGTCCTGTGCATCAAGCTTCTTCATGGGCGCGCCCAGGGAACCGAAGGCTGAGGCCTGGCCAGTGTCCCGAAGGAAGCTTTCACCCCCCTCGTCACTTGTCTCTGTTGGTTCATGGGCTCGGCATGTCAGCGTGGCCCCCCGTGCTGGGTCTCATCAGACCCCAGGGGGATGCTGAGGGGCAAGCCCATGGATCTCCATCTGTGAGACTGAGCCATCTGCAAATGGGCTCAGCTGGGGAGGATACGCCGCCCACACGGCCATGTGAGTCCCTGGGGCAGGAACTGCTCCTCATGCCCACCACATGCAGGGAAAAAACACAAGTCCTGGAGACAGATGCCGAGTCCCGTCTCTGCCCACCACCTTCCTGCTTCGAGACCCTGGGCGTGTCACCTCACCTCCCTGGCGTCGGTTTCCTCACCTGTAAAATGGGGGCTTCATCGAGGTTTAATCTCCTACAGCTGAGCGTGAAGCCTGCACGTGGTAAGTGCCCAGCGAGTGCCGGCCCCTAGTAGCCCCACCCCCCATTGCTGCCCTCAGGTGCTGACGTTCTGGAGGGGCCAATGCAGACGCCCCCCTGAGACCAGGAAGACCAACAATCCCACCAGAGAAGAGCGAACAGTGTCTGGCACCTGGTAGGTGCTCAATATTTGTTGGATGGGTAGATGATGGATGGATGATGGATGGAGGGATGGGTGGATGGAATGATGGTGGATGGGTGGTGGATGGATGGTGGATGGATGGATGGATGGATGGTGGATGGATGGATGATGGATGGTGGATGGATGGATGATGGATGGATGGGTGGATGGATGATGGATGGATGGGTGGATGGATGGGAGGATGGTGGATGGATGTAAGGATGACAGATGGTGAGCCGGGACCTCAGAGGAGGGAGAGATGGCTCTGCAGAGACACCGGGCAGGCCGGATAGAGGGCGCGTGGAAGGCAGGGTTGGAGGGAGACGGCATGGCAAAGGCTTGGAGGAGCTGGGGTCACAGGGCCCGTTCAGGGAACAAAGAGCGGGCAGAGGGACAGGAGAAAATAGTGGGGAACAAGGTTGAAAGGTGACTTGGGCACAGCCTGGGGCTCCTTTCGTCTCACCCGCCCCAGTCGGGCCTTTGATGGGGGTCCCCGTTTTTGCCACAGCCTTGCTCACCCCCGGCCCCTCCCCTTCACAGAGAGAAAGCCACGCCGGCTCACGCTAGACCTCAGTGGCCAAGCGGATTTAAATTTAAATGTACATAGTCACATGTGGCTGGTGGCTCCTGTGTTGGACAGCATCTCTCTAGAATGTTCCAGCCCAGCATTGTCCAACAGAACTTTCTGCAATGACGGGAATGTCCTGGATCTGCGCGTCCAAGGGACCCTGGACCCTCTGACTGCAGGAGCTCCCAGTGGCCGGAGCTCAAACGCTTCATCCTGGAAGGCACGGGACGCCCAGTTAATTTGCATTTCAGCTACAGACCAACTCTTTTTAGCATAAGCATCTCTCAAATATTGCATGGGACGTGCTTTTACCTGACGACGATGCGTTATTTATCCGAAATTCCAATTTCACGAGGCGTTGTGTATTTTTATTTGCTAACTCTGGTGACCATGAGGACGGGACGGGGAGGAGAGGGGCATCCACGCGTTTGCAGAGAGCTCCACCCCGTGGTTCCTAAATTCTGCCCTGGCCTTAAACGGGAGGCAAAGCTAACAGGACGTGGGGTCGGGGGTCAGGGGTCGGGGGGCTGGTGAACACGGACCAGGATTAATTCCACAAGTATTTATGGACGTGGATTGAGCGCCTCTATCCTTGCCAAAGCCGGGAGTGGGTTTGCTCTGGGGCAGAAGCTGGGACACTTGTCCCCAGGGACCCCTGCACCATCCCCAGTTCGGCCCCTCCAGCCACCGGGATGGACCAGGACAGCTGGTCCTCTGTCGCCACCGTGTGGTCAGGGCTGCACATGACACCCTCCCGGCTGCAACCGTGGGGCCAGAACATCAGGGCAGTTCTGGATTATTGGCGTCCAGTGGGGACTAATGGCCCTTCCGCCCGGGCTGTGGGCTCGCCCAGGGCACAGACAGGCCCACCTTTTGCACCTTTCGCCGCTGACTGTCCCTTGCCCAGCAGCTCAGTGCCGGCACACAGTGGGCCCTCCCTGTTTGTTGATTGAATAAATGATAGCACACCCCAAAACTGAGCATTTCCTCTACCTGCACCAGATCCGGCCTCATCCAGCGCTGTGGCAGTGACACAGAGCCACCTAAAAATCCCCTCCCCATGAGAATTTTGCCGCGATCCCCAGTAGCAGAAAGGACTCCAGCTTATTGGCTTTTTTTTCCCGACTAAATAGCATTTTTCTCCTGAGTGGTGGTGAGCGTCTTGGATTGGGGGAGGCAGGCCATTCGATGAGGGGATGGGAGGAGGTCCCACAGTGAGGGACAGGAGAAGCCAGGTCCCAGGAGAAGTTCTGGATGCCAGACAATGGATGTTCGACTGTAAAAACACATTTGATTTTTTCCATCTGCAAACAGAAGTGCTGATTTGTCCGTGGAGAAAAGCTCACCGGTTTGCA